ACTTGTACTTTGACTTCCTTAATATTTTCCCCTTTAAAAATGGATTTTAAAAAACTTTAGTTATACTCTAAACAATAAACAGTTATAAAATCAGATGTGATATGCTAGCTTTATTATGTTTCTAACACATTAAATTCTTTTTTGAAAATGTTGTAACTGTTAAAATAAAAAATATTCAACCATGTACCATCCAAAAGCCCAGGTCACCTATGGGGGATGTGTGCTTTGCATGCTGGGAGAGTCTGCGCAGAGGCTGGGAGAGAGTGGGACCATGTCGTGGGTGCTCAGAAAACCAGCAGTGCCATGTGGGGTTGGCAGCCAGGTCTATTGCCACCAAAGGGCAACCTGGCATCAGGGGGTGTGTCCTCAGTCCTCACTGGGATGGGGAGACACGAAGGTTGGGTGGGATCCTACTTCTGCCAGTACCGGCTCAGTCACTCTGCACCTGTCACTTTCCCTCTTATTCTTCCTCTCTACTAGTGACCCGACCTGACCCTGAACTACTGTGACATTCAGCTTCTGATGTGTCTGGAACAATGTCTGATGTGTGTCTGGAACAAGGTCTGGCATGGCCCTGCCCTGCTCTAGTCCCAGTGTCTTTTCTCTACACATGGCTGACTTGGAGGGCACAGCAGTGAGCCAGCCTGTAGGGTCCCCACTTCCTGGGAGGAGTCGGTTCCCCTTGCACAGGGCACTCCTGCCCTGCCCTCTGCCAGCACCAGGCTGGGTGTCCCTGTGGGCCCTGCCTGACGTGACCCAGCTCAGGAAGGCTCTCAGACATCCTGGCACTCTGTGCCTCTGGCTGGCCCGCTGGGCATGGTTATCAGTTGCATGGACTGAAGGCGTCTGCCGGCATCCTGGTGGCTAGCCGGGTGGCTCCAGCCAGCTCTGAGTCCCTCCCTTCCCAAGTGACATAATAGGCTTCTGCATTGATCCATGCTCTGGAAGTGCCCACCTGCTTCCAGTGCAGGAAAAGCCACCCCAGCAGGCAGGGAGGTTGTACTGTCAACAGCGTCCTGTGGCCACTGGGAGATTTCTGCCTGAAGAAAGGACAAAGGGATCCCTTAGCCTCCTGGGACTCCAGATGCTCAGAGTGCAGAGAGGAAGTACGTCATTTGGAAAGGACCCTGCCAGGATCACCAGCCCAAAGGCATCTGGGAAGCCTACAGTCACCCAGAGTCGGCTGAGTTCTGGGGACCGTGCTCCTGCCCAAGAGCAGCATCCACAGCTGGCAGCTGGGTGACCCACCTGGGTGCTGTGGGGAAGGTCCAAAATAGACACTCGGGGCCCTCCTCTTGCTGGGCTCACTGTGAGATCCAGGGCAAAGATTCAGGAATATCCCAGGACTTTTCATTTCCTGGGTTCCTTGCAGGACAGACACCTGCTTCTTGGCCCCATAGATGCTTTCACAGGCTTGTGGGGGCCCCATCCAAACTCCCCTCTATATCTCAGGGTCTCCCTCCTCCACATCCCTACCATCCTTGCCCTGAGTTATAGCCTTCCCTTGTCCCCCACCATTCCTGCCTCTAAAACCCCCTTCCAGGATCCTGACTCAGGTCCCGGCTCCCTTGTGGGTTCGCCCACCTTCTTCCTCCCTCTGGGGGCTGCTGCCATGGCCAGGGCCGAAACGCAAAGCACCTGCCTTAGCTTCCCACCTCCCTGTCAGTCTGTTCTCCCCTCTGCGAGCCCAGCCCCTCCTGACCTGGCCTGCCCCTTGGCACCTCTCTCCAGCTCCCTGAGCCTGGCTGGGTTAGTCAGCGCCACCTGGAGACAGATCAGGTGGGTGAAGGCTGGGAGGTGGCACCAAGCAGCAGAACAGACAGAGAGACACAGCCCCTGCACGTCCTGGTTGTGTGACTCTGGGAAGTCACTCCCCCTCAGTCTTCTTCATGTGTAAAATGTGGGTTGTAAAAAGGCATCTGGGAAGCCTACAGTCATCCAGAGTCGGCTGAGTTCTGGGGACCGTGCTCCTGTGATTAACAGGAGCCTCCAGCCCCTCTGATTAACAGCCAAACCAGAGCTGGCAGGCAGAGGAGCGGAAGCACAGGACTGGACATGGAATTAATTCAAGTGGACATCAAGGCAAGAGGGACATTGAGGGAGTCCAGGATCTGGCACTGGTCTATTTATTTGTTCATTAGCCACCGGTGTTGAGTTCCTTCACTGTGCTAGGCCCATGCGGGTATGGGGGCTCCAGCAGTGGGCAGGCATACAGGTTTCTGAACCCAGTTGCTGCAGACTGGAAGTGACCTCCTGTGACCTCCTCAGGAGGTGGGTTCATGGCTGTCTCTCTTACTCTCCTGGGAGCCAGGGGTAGGTCTGGGTCCTTGGCTCTGGGGAGGAGGGTAATGCATTGTGGACTCTCCAAGCAAGGTCTGAAGGCCACACCGTGCAGCCACTCTGGGAAGCTCTGGAGATGCAGATTTCTGGGTGTGGCCTGTGGATGGCCACATTAGGATCTCTCCAGGTGAGACCCAGAAATCAATGCATGGGATGGGCTCCCACCTGATCCTTTTTCTTCTCTTTTTTAAAAAATTTACCATCTTTTTTTTTTTTTTAGTTGTAGGTGGACACAATACCTTTATTTTATTTATGTGGTGCTGAGGATGGAACCCTGTGCCTCGTGTGTGCTAGGCAAGTGTTCTACCACTGAGCCCCAACCCCTAATTTACCATATTTTTTACTATATTTATTTTTTAGTTGTAGTTGGACATAATATCTTTATTTTACATTTATGTGGTGCTGAGGATCGAACCCAGTACCTCACACATACTAGGTGAACACTCTACCACTGAGCCCTAACCCCAGCTCCTAATTTACCATATTTTTAAAGATATCTTATTTACTTATAGATGAACACAATACCTTTATTTTATTTATCTATTTATTTTTATGTGGTGCTTATGAGGATTGAACCCAGCGTGCCAGGCAAGTGCTCTACCACTGAGCCACATTCCCAGCCCTCCCAGCTGATTCTGATGGGCCCTGAGGGTCAGAACCTCTGCAGTGGGGTGGGTCAGCAGGGAGACTTCACTTAGAAGGGATGAAGGTGTCACAGAAGAGGTTTCTGGTACTTTTAATCTGGTTGGATTTATGCCTGAAATAGACCGTTGCTCTTTTGAAAAGCTGGGAAATTGCCCTCTAGTGAATCCCAAGACACACACACACTGTACGCCTCTCCCATTCCCCAGAGCTCAGACTGCAGTTCAGAAGGCCCCACCTGGCCTCCCTCCAGATGCCAGGGGGGGGGGGGAAGGAGTGGGCCTGGGGAAGACATGAGGCAGTGGCTGCTTTCACCCTCTACTCTGTGTAGAGGGCTCCACACGTGACCTTTGAACTCATCCTCCTGACAAGCTCAGGAGAGACACATTTGTTCCCCCAGAAGAGAGGAAGGGAGGGCCAGGACAGCACGTGTGGGTGGCTGGGATTGGGACTCAGGTCCACCTGGGTCTTTCTGAATGGCTTTGGTCTGCACTACGCTCCCCAAGTGGGACGAGGAGTGACTGCTGTTCCCCTCATGGCTGTCCACCTAGCCTGTTTCCAGACCCCCCTGAACCTGCCCCAGTGATAGCCTCACACATGGTATGGGTCACCAAAGCTTGTACAAGGAGTAACTTCTCACTTTGGCATTAACTTCAGGAGAATTAATAGATGATTATGTGAAATGATAATTCTTAGAAGAGTATAGTCATAACTCACATATTAAATGAATACCTGCCCGGCATTTTATTTGACTAGTGAGGGAATCAGTAAGATATGAACTCTGGTTGGTCAGCCTGTTCATAGGAGAATTCAAAGTACCTCACATATAAGGCAGAATGGTAAAATGAATTTATAAGTGGGTGCAAACTGGGCTGAATACAAGGAAGAGTGAAATGAATTGTATTTCAGCCAGACATAGTCATGTGTGTCTATGAATGAGAATCATTTGCACCGTTATCAATTACCTATAACATACAGATTTGCAAAATAGTCCAAAGACAATAAAATCAGATAACCCATAGAATCAGATAACCCAGAAGGTTGTGCTTAAACAAGGCCTCTAGTTCTGTCTTCTTTTTGACTCATTTCAAAGTCTCTCAGTTACCAGAAGTGACCACAGATCTGGATGTAAACCCCCTAGCAGCCAAATGAAAGAGGAAATCCACTTCAAGATTCAGTGTCTCTAAGAATAGTAATTTTATAAGAAATTCAGCTTTTCACTGTATTGAGACCAGGTCTTCCTTCAAGAATGGGCCCCCTAAAGGGAACACAGTGAGGTAGAAAGCAACATCCTCAAACACCCTCAAGCATACTGGTGACTCTTGCGTAGCTTCAAGGTAGTGCTTCTCAAAGTTGGTCCCAGCCCAGGAACATTAGCATCAACTGGGAACTTGTTAGAAATGCACATCCTCAGGCCCACCCCTGCCCACTGAGCATTCTGTGTTTTAACAAGCCCTCCAGGTCATTCTGATGCAAGATGAAGTTTGAGAATCAAGGAACAAGTGTTCTCGACCTTATCATATCAGAAGTACCCGGGTAGCTTTAACATGATACCATGCCTGGGCCCCACCCAGACCAACTCTATTGGAATCCTGGAGGTGGGGCCTGGTTAGGTATATTTTTGAGGCTCCTCCGGTGGTTGTACTGTGCAGCCAGGAGAGAGGCCCATTGCTGCAGAGTCATTTAACCCAAGCTGAGGCCATCTTCTGTTGCAGAAAAATCCAGACCCACTTAGGTAAGGCCTATCTGAGACACTGTAACATCTTCCTTCCTTGTGTCTTCAGCCCCGAGCACTTACCATGCACATGGCAGAGTCCAAGGCTGTGAAGGTGAAAAGGTGCATTTATTAGACACCACTGGTTCCTGACACAAGGAGCCAGTACCTAATGAGAACTTTTCATAGGAGTCTAATGAGGATTCCAGGCAGGCCAGGGGGACAGGGATGGTGACAGGGTGGAAGGGGGGCAGCCCCTGGCCCATACCCCATCCCAGTCTGATACCTTGACTCTTCTCCACAGGCTGTGAGGGGCTGTGGGACAACATGAGCTGCTGGCCCTCCTCTGCATCAGGACACACCGTGGAAGTGGAGTGCCCCAGGTTCCTCCAGATGCTCACGAGCAGAAACGGTGACCACTCAGCCAAGGGCTCTGGCTGGAAGGCTGTGTGGGGGGTGGCCTCAGCTGGGAGGCAGGAGACCTGAAGCCTTCTCGGGGGACAAGCAGTGGTGAAATCATGGGATGCTTGTTGGGGACTGGAAGACTTGTTTGGGGGTCAGGGTGGGCTCGATTCTCAGAGTCCCAAGGAAGTGGGTGGGAAAAAACATCCAGGGGAAGGTGATCAAGAATGCTGGGCTGGCTTCTCTGCCCCATGCCTCTCATTTAGGGATCCCCTCTATTCTTCCATGTTGTGTCCCCCTAACCAGTAGCGCCCTTGCTCCAGGCCCCCAGGTCAAGGACCCCACTCTGGCAATGCCAGGTTTCCCAAATGTGTGGCCTTCCAGAGTGCTCCCGTCCTCTGCCCATTCTGCCAGGCCCTGTGGGTAAGCCAGGGCTTCCCTGGGAGCCCTGCCCTCCTGGAGACCTTTTCCTGAGGACAGCTACAGGGTACAAGGATTTCCTTAATTGATTAACTTTGGTTTAAGGTGGACCCTGTACCAGGCATTTTATGTACATGGGCAATGATTACAAAACCCCTGCAAGCCATGTCCCTTTTCTCTACACCCAGTAAATCATTTGACCCAAGTAAAGAGCAATGACAATATTAACAGTGTCTAAGAGAGGTTTGTCAGTTTGCCTTAAAGTTCACAGCAACAGATGGAGAAACTTAGGACTCAAACTTGACTTCTGACTTCTGGTGCTCTGACCTTGAAATCATGGTTGGTCTGTCTTCTCATGGTTTGTGTGATCCTGGGAGGAGGACAGGGTCCTTGCCTTTGACTCCTTACCTCATCATTGAGGTCTTGCCCTTCTCCTTCATCCGCGCAGAGCAAGAAAAGTCACCTGACAAGGTCCTTAACAAGGACAAACCAAAGAACAGGTCATTTAACACCAAAACCCACCAAACTTCCAAAGTCAGGAAGGAGAGAATGTTCAGAGAGACTATGTTCGACAGCTCTTCATCGCTGTGATGAACACCTGAGAAAATCCACTTGAAGGAAGAAAGGTTTGTTGTGTATCACAGTTTTGGAGATTTCGGTCCATGGTTGGTCAGCCTGTTACTCTAGTAAGGCAGAACATCATGACTGAGAGCATGTGGTAGAGGAAAAATTGCTCACCTCATGGCAGCTGGTAAGCAAAGAGAGAAAGGAAGAGACTTGCATACCAACCCTCCCTTCAAGGGCACACCCAATGACCTAACTTCCAGCTGTTAGGCCCCAACTCCTAAAGGCTCCACCCCTTCCCCATAGCATCAAGCTGAAAATTAAGTCTTTAGTATACAGGCCTTTAGGGAATGGTCCAGATCCAAACTTAGCAGAGATAGACTGTGGAGCCCCAGAGATGAGTGCAGATTCTTCTCATTGTAATTCTCTAGCACATAAGTACTCAAGTACGCATGCAAATGGGGACACACACACACACACACACACACACACACACAGATTTCGGAAACATGCTGCTGAGGCTCACTGTCCCTCTGCCCCACTGAAAACCCTACAATACGGATATGGAAGGGGACCCGTGGCTTGAACCCCACTCTTCCATCCCTGATTTAGTAACAAGAGCTGCTGATCAGACAAATCCCCCAAATCTTAAAGCCTTCATACAATGTTTGTCCATATTACATCACAAACAGATGTCCCTGATTAGCAGGCGACTCTCCTCCCGATGGCGATGCTAGATCTTACACCTTACCACCAAGGCTTCCACATGCAACTCCAGGGTGGCTGGCCAGGAGAAAGGACCCAGAGGGTCACCTAGGGAGTTTGAAGGCCTGGCCTGAGAGAGACACCATTCTGCCTGCATTCTCTTAGCCCAAACTCAGTTATATGGCAACACCTAACCGAAGGGGACGTGTGTCGTGCAGTCCAGCCCTGTGCCAGTCAGCTGCATGGCCCAAATGGCTCATTGTCATCGAGCCTCAATTTCCATATCTCCAAAGTGGGAGCAATAAATAATGCCTGCCTATAACCCTGGACTTGGAAATAAATTTTGAATATCTTTTTCTCTTTTCCACCTTCTATCACTCCTTCTTGTTCTCCCCTCCACAAATTTCCCCCCTGGCCCCTCCCCCTTCCCCTGCAAACTCACCAACAGTCTACTTCTGGCATGACCCTTCCATGTCTGTCCTAGGGTCTGTGAAGATCAGGAAGCAGGACACCAACACAGCCATGGTTGGCCTAGAAAACTATGATGGTCAGTTGCAAGATCAGGACCAGACCCTCCTGGTCTCTGACTTCCAGACAATGCTCCATCGATGGCTGATTGGGATTTTCTCCTGTTGAGAAGATTTACAGCTCTTCTCCTCCTCAGCCCTCCCAGAGCCACAGTGCCTCCACCTCCTGTTCCCCTCCCTCCTGTCCTTCTGCAGGGGGCCAGGCAAAACCAGTGCCACTGCAACTGGGAAGGAGAGGTGCCAGCCCTATTACATCACTCCCCAGTTACTCCCTCCTCGTTAACTAGAATTCCCTTGACCCCTTTTGAGGCTCCCTACCCTCGAATCACTCACCACGCATTGGGGACTCCCCCAGGGACTCAATTCCCTGTCTGCATGCTTTAAGGATGGAAGCTGCTTTAAGGATGGAGTTAGGCATAGGGAATGCCTAACACAGCTGCAGTTTCACCTTGCCACCACATGGTGCCGCTGTGGGCCGCAGATCCACACTGAGGTCCTGACTACTGGGAGCTTGGTTCCAGCCGCGGCGTGGTGGGGAGGACCGTCCCACTCAGTCCTGCCTCGGGCTTTGGGGTGTCAGCTGGTCCACACACACACAGATCAGGACCTTCAGCTAGTCACCCAGAACCTTCCCTCCCCAAGAGGTCTGCCTTTGCCTTTGATTGGACTCCTGCTTCCTTATCAGGAAGAAAATCTCCCCCTAGTGGTGTCCCCAACCCCAATTCCGACCCCTGTGGGAGAGCCCAGTGATGACAAGGTGGTGTTCTGGACCCTTCTTTTAGAACAAAGAAAAATAAATAGCAGAATTATTTCATAAATTTACTCTTCCCAGGGTACCCACCACATGGGCCTGACAGGATGGGTGTCCTTGTGACTGGAGAAACTACAGCTGCCTTCTGCCCCAGAGAGTTCTCATGCCAGGCCTAAATGTTCCCTCTAGGATGCATTTCAAAGGGCGCCTTCTTCCAGCATTGCTTATTCAAAAACGCATTCTGGGTGGAGTCAGGCCTGGCCTTTCTTTCCTTCCTGCTTAGTGGGAGGCAGCAGCAGTCCCCAAACTCATTAGGGGCCGGGAGGTTTGGATGACAGCATTGGACTGATTCTTCCCCTAATGCATGTGAATATGTTTTCAGGGGTGCCCTGAGGTGTACGCTGGCTTGTACCTGGCTAAGGACCCCATAGTTGTTAGGAATTAAACTGGGGTGGCAGGGGAGTACATGGGATTATGGGGGCCCCAGGGAGTCCCAATGCTATGTTTGCAGCCTTGCAGGTGGCTCTATCAGCAGGGGACTTTACCTTGTCAGCAATTCTTGGCCCTGGCCTGGGTCACATGCAGATCTCTTGGGAATCCTGCTGGGTCAGCGAGGAGAGGGCCCTAAACACCAGGCCAGGTGCAGCGGGCTGAGTCCACAGTCAGCCTGAGGCAGGTGCTACCTTTGGATCTGAGGTCTGGGTGTTTGTTGCCATTGAACCATGCCAAATTGGACCACCATTCTTTCCCATTGCCTCCCCTGAGTTCCAAGTCCCCGTGGCCTGTCCACTCCTGCCTTATTTGGAAAGGCTGAAAGGAGAGGAAGTGGGGCTGCAAGGCCTGCTCTGTGCTGGCAGCAGCCTAGCCTTGCTCCATGTGCCAGTGTTGGTCCTGCTTGCTTTTGCACAGAGGGTGATTATTCCTACCTGGCACAGAGAAGTGAGCAGGTAAGGTCACACAGCAGCCCTGGGTTTCAAACTCAAGTCTGGCTGCCTCTAGAGACCTAGGCTCCAGGCCTCCCTGACCCTTCATAGGCTGGGCATGTCTGGAGCCCAAAGGACAGAATCTCCTGGGGCTAGAAGCCACAACTGGGACCTGAAAGAAAGGGCCAGACAGGAAGGCAGCATAGTGATAAGGTTCACCCCATCTGGGCACCATGGCCTTGATTTTATGTTCTGCAAAATAGATAACTCTTGCCTTCCTGGGGTCTGTGAGGATCGGATCAGAATCCATACAGAAAGTACACAGCACAGTGACTGGTTCTAGAAAGCCCAGCCATATGTCTCTAGCTCAGTGGAAGCTGTTTGGTCCCAAAGTCTGTGAGTGGTGGCCCAGCCCCATGGAAGAGGACTATCCCAGGCCCAGCCAGTGTTGTTAAGGGGCCCCTGGACAGGGTTCTCCCCTTAGTACCTAGTGATCCTTGTCCTCACCTCATGATGTCTCCCACTCGCCAGAGCAGGGGATCCAGATCTTGGTAGCCCAGAGTATAGAAGGCAGCTGGACCTCAGTCCAAGGTGGGCACCTCCTCCTGGGGCCTTCTAGCTGGCATCTCCCTTCCATTATGGGAAGAGCTCCATGCAGGTCCTTCAACTCCATTCATATGCCTTTCTCTCTAGCCAGCCAGAGTCTGGTGCACAAGGGCCCTGGGCCCAGCTCAGGGCAGCCCAGAAACCATGGACTACCTGGTGAGAGGGGTCAGCCTGCAGCCTTGCCTGGGTGCATGGGGCAAACAGAACTTCAGTTGTCTCCACAGGTAGCCTTGTTGTGTTGGCTAAAGGACTAATAATCCAGCCTTCTGGTGAGAGGTGGCTGTCTGGAAAGGTGTATCTCAGTGGCACTCTGGTGGCTTTCAAATGGCCCGGTGAGCAGGGCATGAAGTGAGATATGAAATGGAACTTTCTTGGAGCAAGGTTTGTAACAACAGTAGACTGAGTTAAGGTCATTGTTGGAGTGGCCAGGTCTTTGCCGCCTCCCCAGATATTCTAGGGGACCTTCCTGATATGTGTCGGCAGGACCTGGGGTCAGGCAAAGCAGGAGTCAAGAAGGGAGCAGGAGTCAATAAGGGCACTAGCACTAGCCCCAGAGTTCCAGGCCCCTTTCCCCATTTACTAGGGTGTAATCATTGCAATTATTGAAACCCCATGTGCCTCAGGTTCCCCAGCTATAAAATGGTTGTAGCATTTACATGTCACTATAGAATTCAGTATAAAAATAACATTGCCAGTACCCACTGCTTACCTGCTGGACACTTGGCACCCACAGGTTCCCTGTTCCGAAACTGCACACCAGACGGCTGGTCAGAAACCTTCCCCAGGCCTGACCTGGCCTGTGGGGTTAATGTGAACGACTCTTCCAATGAGAGGCGGGTAAGCCAGTCAACCTCCACCCCAAGGGGGTCCTGGGAGGTGGGGAGGCCTGAGAGGAGACAGGGGATACCAGTGTGGGCCAGAGGTCAGGACCTGGGGCCACTCTCAATCCCCCCACCACTCCCCTGCTCAGCTGAGCTTCCAGACCTCAGTCTATCAACCTAGAGGTGAAGGTCAGGAAGACCCTAGTTACTGTGAATGTTGCCATATACCACCATGAGACTGGGGTGGTTTATTTATAAAACCAAAAGAGAAGCCACGTGGTGGCTGAATGCTCAGAGCCAGGATGGTGAGTCCGAATCCTGACCTTGAACTTGGTGTCTCTGGGGAGGAAATAATCACTCTATGTCCCAGTTTCTTCATCTGGGAAATCTGGCTAGTGATAGTTCGACTGTACAGGCTTGTCAAGAGAACTAAATGAGTCAGTACAAGGATGTGCAAGATGCCTGCCTGGCCCCATAGTAAGTGCTCAATAAGTGTTGGCTCTCAAGGGAATCTCTTGGATCTGGTGCAGAGCAGTTTTAGACTGAGAGGAAACTCCTATGAGCTGAACTTCTTTGGGTACCCTCTGAGACTTCCTCAGATGGTCACTGTCAGGGTCCATCCCAGGCTCAGCTCCCCTCCCAGGACAGCCCAGACCCTCAAAGCTCACATATCCTGAGCCCTCTTGCCCCCGACTTGGCCTTTGCCACTGGGACCCCTTGCTTGGACAGCACTTCCCTTCTCTCTTTTCCTGATTCTTTCACATTCTTCAAGATTCCACTTGGTTCCACCCACTGTAGCCCATTCTGGAAAGTCTCCCTCACCCACAACAAAGAAGACCCCCTTCTGTGCTCTGCGCTGGCCTCTGTTACCTACCATGCTATGGTAAAATGGTCAGCAGGTGCCCTCTCTCTCCATCTCTCTCACTGAAAAGTGGACATCCATTCACACAAACATTTACTGGGCACCTCCTAGGTCCAGACCTGGGTCTGGATCTGGGGGTCCTGCAGTGACAAATTAGAAAGTCTTATTTATTCCCAGGCTATCACGGTGTCTAGAGGCTTCATGGTGCCAGATAAATGTTTGTTATGCTTGAGGTTAAGCGTGAGAATCTGGGTCCCCAGCATTCCTCCACCCTACAAAAAAAAAGCTTGTTGTTCTGAATGTCTATCATGTGCCAGCTGCTTGACGTATAATTACATTTCAGCCTCAAAATAGCCCTGCAAGCTCATGGGGAAAGGAGGAAGTTGGGCAGCAGACCACACTGGCTTCTGACTTCTTCCTCAGATTCCCGTCTCCAGTCAATCCATCTAGTTCTACTTGCAGGAGTGGGTGGAGGATGGAGTTTCTTCCCCTCTGGGGCTTATCCAATCGGAAACAATAGGAGTGTGGAGTGACTCATGGGCACACAGTATCATGGAGCGCTGGGCAGTGGGTTCTTCTGCAAAGGACTATTTCCGTCATTTATTCATGTGTAGAAAGGAGGGTTATGTGTATCAAGTTTGTAAAGTCATCAAACTAAGAAGGAACATTCTCACGATGGGTGGCAGGATGGAGGGTCAAAGGATGCTTTGGGAAACAGATATCAAATTTCCAACTGATTTATTAAGAAAGTGAAGCTCACATATCAGGGAAGGCAGAGAATGGGCTCTGGGATTCTTTGACGAAGAAGCACCACAAAGTTGCCCAGGGCCAGGTTATTTTGATCTCTCTCCCTTCCATCCTAGCAACATCTCTTAAAACTCTTGTTGCCATCAGCAGTCATGGCCAGAGATTCTGCCATTCCTTCTGGTCCAGAAGATGGAACTTCCTAGGGTTCCTTCTGAAGAATTGAAAGACTTCCCCACGCCACACCCTGCAAACACCCCTCCACACCCCCACACACACACCCAGGAGCCTGTATTCACATCTCATTGGTCCAAAATGGGTTAGACCCACCCCACTCTGAATCAATCTTTAGTAGAGGGATACATAATTGATGTAGGTGGAATTTCCCAAACTTTTTGGCCTTAGGATTCCTTTACACCCATAAGAATTACTAAAAATCCCATGGAACTATAGTTTTTGTGATTTGTTTTATGTTTATGATTTCTTTTGCAGGGGCGGGGGAATAATGGGGATTGAACTCAGGGTCACTCGACCACTGAGCTACATCCCCTGCCCTATTTTGTATTTTATTTAGAGACAGGATCTCACTGAATTGCTTAGGACTTCCCTGTTGCTGAGGCTGGCTTTGAACTCGTGATCCTCCTGCCTCAGCCTCCCAAGTCTCTAGGATTATAGGCATGTGCCACCATGCCCAGCAGTTTTTGTGATTTATATCTATCAAGTAACACAACAGTTACTGTTGGCTTAGACTAGTCAACTGGAAAGAATAGAACCTGGAGCCTTTACCACAATGTGTATGGCAGAGTTGAAACTATAAAATCCCAAACCAAGGGGCTGAAACTTCACAGAGGCAAATGCACAATTATGGACTCAACTCAGAAAGTTAATTATTCAAGAATGGTGGAAAGGAGACCTAGGTTGACTTCAGCTCATGCTACAAAAAATAGTAACAATTAAAATTTAAAAAAAAACAACAAAACAAAAAAACAGAGCCTGGTGGCACATGCATATAATTCCAGTGACCCAGCAGGCCTCAGGAGGATCTCAAGTTTGAGGCCAGCCTCATCCATTTAGTGAGACCCTGTCTCCAAAACAAGAAGCCAAAATGAAAAGAGACCAAAACAAACAAACAAACAAACAAAAACCCTAAGACAGGAAGGGTTTGCAGATATGACCCTCAATGCATGGACTTTGAGCTTTACTCTGAGATTTGAAGTATCCTTTTTTTCTAATTATTATTGTTAAAATGTCTTTTTCTTTTGTCTATTGATGGTGAAGACACAGCTTACTTGGTCTTCTTGCAACATTCTTCCTTGGCACACACCACTATTTATTGACGAAAGCCCACAGTGGACCCGGATTGACAGAGAGACAAGGCATGTCTTGCCTGCCTCAAGCAGGGACCGCCAGTGCTTTTGCTAATTCAGTTTGATGGGAACATGGCCAAGCCCATTTGCACAAGTCTACTTTTGCAAGGACAGAGTTGAGAGGTTGCAAAAGCGACTGCATGGCACCAAAAGCCTAAAATATTTACTCTCTGTCTCTTTATACGTAACTTTTGCTGAAGCTGATCTAGAAGGTACAGCAAGAAGGTGGCCCAGGCAGGCTGCACAGCAAAGAGACAGGCAACTGGACCCCAAAGAGGCAGCAGGGGCTTTCTGAACTCCAGGTCTTCTGCTTCTGTGCTTAATTGCAGATGTTAAGAGCCAAGGAGCCAAGGGTCACATTAGGACTCCAGGGAGCTGGGTTGTTTCTGGCTGAGACCTGGCAGATCAAGGAAGGCATGAGAGCTGGGCTAGAGATCACCCGGCAGGCCATGACTGCAGCCGCAGGACAGTGCAGAATATTCTGCCTCAACACTCTCAGGGGTCACCCTGAGCCTCCTTAGGCTCCCATGGGCTGGTCCAAGCATCCCTGGGAGTGAGGCTTATGTGCTCAGCTGCAGAGCTTATCCTGTATGCAGCAAGATTCCTGATTGACATGTTGTCCCCAGTTTGACATTTCATGCGTCCCAAATTCTAGGAAACACTGATCTAAGGCACCTCACTGCCTATCAGGGCTCTTTGTTTCATCCATGAGAGGTGACTCCTGGCTGCTGGGAGAGCATTTAGGTCAGGAGGGAAGTTCAGTGTCATTTTAGCAACCATCCTATCCAAGGTCACTTCTTGTTGTCAAAAAATGTATGATTACTCTGAGTCAAAAGCTACTTATTTTCTGGTAACTTCTTCCCTCTAGAGACTACATGTGAAATCTTGCCTTCTACACATCAATCATTCTGATATTTTCTCCCCTAAGTTGTTTTTTCCTCCCTGTGGGTATAACTTACCCAAATGTTTTCATACCTTCGGAAATGCTCCAGTTTATTAATGTGCCTCTTAAAATAACATCCCCGACCTGGACATGACACTCCAAGCATTCCAGCGCAACCAGCTGCTCTCAACACTCCATCAATGTAACTGAGAATAGGCCTAATTTTTTTAGCAGCTACCTCATACCTCAGACTTCCTACCATTTCATGCCGCTGACTCATTTTGAAGGGTAGATGATAGAGTGGAGTGGGGAAAAATTACCATATACTGAGAGTCTTCTAAATGCCAGACATTGTCTGGATACTATATCCTGATAACCTTATGTACCTCATCATTCTTCCAATAAGCCTACAACATAGATATGATTAACTTCATTTGGCAGATGAAGAATCTGAGGCTTAGGGAAGTTGATTAATTTCTCCTAGGTCACACAGCTGGTGAGTAACAGTCCTGGGCTTAGGCCACTTGTCTCCTGGCTCTGAAGCCTATGTTCTTTCTCTGTAGTACCCTGTGTGACTCCATGGAGATTGGGCCATTATTGTTGTTGTTATTATTATTATTATTGTGTGTGTCTCTGTGGTGTGTGTGTGTGTGTGTGTGTGTGTGTGTTTTGTTGGAAACTGAATCCAGGGCCTTGTGCACGCAAAGCAAGCACTCTACCAATTGAGCTATATCCCCAGCCCCAAGCGTGGGCCTTTTCCTATGAATAGCTATCAGCCAGGTTTCCCCAATCCAATTCTTGTGATTTCTTAAGAAATTAATTAGGTGGATACAGGCAACTCAGATGGCAGTAACAGGGAAATTGTAAGTTCAAGGTCAGCCTCAGAAAGTTAGCCAGGCCCTAAACAACTTAGTGAGACTATGTTGCAATAAAAAATAAAAAGGACTGGGGATGTGGCTCAGTGGTGAGGTTTAATTCCCAGTACCAAATAAACAAATTAATTTAAAAATGAATTACCTTTTATTTTGGTTATAAATAGCATTGACCCAGTATAGAAAAATTTAAAATACAGATAAAATACAAAATAAAATAGCTCTATTCCCAAACCTAAGATTCAAAGTTAACCACTTATTAACATCCAACATATCTCCTTAAAATCTTGTTTCTAGACATACATGAGATTGAACCCTATGGAATAGCTAATATCCAATTATTTTGATCTACATAAAAAGAAAATTTCATATAATTCAGCCTAACATTTTTTACGTTTATAGCTAGGATCATACTGCCCATGTAAAATATGTATCTGCCTTTTCCTGTCACAATACATCGACATGTCCCAACTTCTTTGAAAACTTTGGAAACCAGCATTTTAACAGTGGTATAATATTCAAGTCATTTTAGTTTAAAATAATTGAGTTAACTATTCTTCTGTTGTTGTATGTTTCTTTTCCATCAATCAATAGTTCTGAAAGAAATATTTTTATATATAAATAAGCTTTTGTTTTTTTCTGACTATATTATCTTGCAGTATTCTCAGAAAATTGGGTCCTGGACCCCCAGAGACACCTATATCCCAGTATGCTCAAGTCCTTATATATAAAATAGTGTAGTATTTGTACATAAACCCAAGAACACCCTTCCATATACTTTAAACCTGTGTGCGTGTGTGTGTGTTGCTGGGAATCAAACCCGGGGCCTTGCACATGCTAGGCAAGCACTTTTACCATTGAGTTCCAGCCCTCTCCAGTACACTTAAATCATCTCTAAATTATATGTAATTCCTAATGCAGTGTAAATGCTGTGTAAGTAGTTGTTATGCTACATTATAATAACAAGGAATAATAACAAGAGAAAATATTTGTACTACTACTTAGTATAGAAGCAATTTTAAAAAAAAATTTCAGTCGTGGTTGGTAGAATCTGTGAATGCAAAACTGGCAGATATGAACAGTAGCTGTATTTTCATAGAATTAATTCTTGGAGTAGAAGGAAGATCAAAGGAAATGTATGTTTCAAAGGCTCTTGATAGAAATATTAACATCACCTTTCAGAGAGATGGAAGCAGGTTTTACTCCCACTATACTTTCATCTGAATAGAATGTTATTGCTTTTAAGTATTTGTTAATTTGATTGCTAAAAAATTATCATTTTAAATTCCATTTACTTGATTCTTTTAAAAACCATTGTACAATTTATTTTTCAGAACTTAAGTGCAGGTCTTCAATTTCTCTATGTCAAATTTTAACTTTTTGCCCCACATTTCAGTCTATGGACATTGGTATCAAAGATGAGCCAACAGTGTGAAGTGGCTACTGAACAAGTAAATGCCCGATTGACTGTATTAAGAGGAGCACAGTGTGCGGATCAGGGAGGTGGTGGTCCCATTCTGCTTCTTCCTTGTTGGAGACTATATCTGGAGCTTTCAAGCTACGTAGTTCTAGGTATCTTATCTAAGGAGATTGACAAACTAGAGCATACTCATTGATCTAAATAATGAAGAATTGTGGAAGGAGATTAAGAACACAGAATAAATGCCGAGAAGATAAGTGAAGGACAGATGTGCAGAACTGCTTTGTTGGAAAATGACAGACTTCTCTGTATCTTCCTAACTCTTCTATATAATACATCTAATGTTCAAGGTGAATTTAATTTAAATGGCTCCAAAAGGAAGAAAAAGCACTCACAGCTGCAATATTAAAGCCAATTTTAGCTTCATATAAGAAAAAAAATCTAACATTTTATACTGTTATGCTCCAGATGACTTCCTGAAAAGGCAGTGAGCACCTTATTCTTACATATTCAAGAGAAGACTTGAGTTCAGAGTGTTGGTAAGGGCTCTGTACACAGTGTACAAGTTTGAATAGGCATTAGAGGATACTCCAAATTTTTCTAAAGTCAAGCTGTTATGATCTTACCAGTTTGTGATGTGACATCCTTGGGGCACAAATGGAATAGCACTCAGGACAGTTGGGCTCAAGCTGACTGAAGAAGAGGCACTGGGGCACATAAGGGCCAGCAGGTGGGTGGTTGGCTGATACGTGGCTCTCTCTGCAGCATGCCTACCTGCTGAAGCTGAAGGTCATGTACACCGTGGGCTACAGCTCCTCCCTGGTGATGCTCCTTGTAGCTCTCAGCATCCTCTGTGCTTTCCGGTAAGAACATGCTGCCAGTTTTCCATCTTCCAGCCAACTTTGGGTCTTACTTGCTCAGGTCAGAAAGAGGAAGGTGTGGGTGGGCTGGCTTGTCGCCTCTCCATATAAAGCTCACCTGTGGCAAAACATAAAGTTCCTGTGACCACTGCATTCCTTTACTCATTCAACACTTGCTAAGCATTACTGATAATGTGGCCAGATTTTTTTTTTTTTTTAACAAATGTTATTTCTAATATTCTCCCAATGCTATAAGAGACACTTTATAGGTGTCTAGTTTGACTCCTGGTTGCAAAAGACAGAAATCTGCCTCAAAACAACTGAAGAAAACAAAGGTGACCTGACCCACATAATTGACAAGTTCAGGGGCACATGCTTTAGGCATGGCTGGATGTAAGGCAGATGCTCAGAGACATCAGCAAAACTAAGTCTTCCTCCATTTCTCTGCTCTGGACTTTCCTCATTCTCTGGCAGCCTTTCTTCAGAAATGATAAAGATAACCACTAGAGGAGGCAAGTGCTATCAGCTCAGTAAAGCCAAGGGCAAAGGGAACGTCTTCCCCATCAGTTCTAGCAAAAGTCCTGGGAAGGGAGTTCTCATAGGCTCAGCTTGGATCACGTGTTCAACCTCCGAACCAATCAGTACAGTCAGGGATGGAGCGCTGATTGGTCGAATCTGACTCAAACCTGAGGAGGGCGGAGTCTTCTTCCGCAAGAGCTAGAATGGGCTGTCTTTGAGAAATACTGAGTTTTGTAGCTGAAGGGGAATAAGTAACCACATTTTTGGTTCCTACAGCAGAGGAAGCAATTCTGGGAGATGGAGAAAATGATAGGTCAGGGCAGAAAGTACATTGCCCCTACAACCTTCGCTTAAAAAAAAAAAAAAAAAAACTGCAGTTATGAGACAATACACTGGACACCTGGGGGTCCCAGGTTCTCATTCAGTTCTATTCACAGAGACGGGTGAGAACTGGAAGGAGCTGGGGTCAGGAAGGGCCTGGCTGAGTTCCAGCCCCTCCTGGCTTTGGCCCCTATAGCCTTGCAATCTGTCCCTCCAGGAGGCTCCACTGCACCCGCAACTACATCCACATGCACCTCTTCGTGTCCTTCATCCTGCGTGCCCTGTCCAACTTCATCAAAGACGCTGTGCTCTTCTCCTCAGATGACGTCACCTATTGTGATACCCACAGGGTAACATGGCTGGGCCCCCTAGGGTACAGCTATGCCTGCCTTTTTTTTTTTTTTTGGGGGGGGGGGGGGGGGGGTTGTGTGGGTAACGGGGTTGAACTCAGGGGTACTCCACCACTGAGCCACATCCCCAGTCCTATTTTGTGTTTTTTTAAGAGACAGAGTCTTGCTTTTGCTGAGGTTGGCTTTGAACTCATGATCTTTCTGCCTCAGCCTCCCAAGATGCTGGGATTACGCTAGGTCTCGGGCTGCCTCTTAATGTTAAAGAAGTCACTCCATCAGGAGAACCCTACACTATGGCATCCCTGCCAGGATTTGGAATTTTCTAGTCCAGGTATAATGAACAAGTCAGGGCCATTTTAATCATCATCAATGATGCCTCCTAACAGTGGTTGGCACACCCCTTCTTCATTATTTCCATGAAAAGTGAGCTTGGAATGAGTTTTGTTACCCTTGGCTCAGAAGTTCCTTCCCTCTCTAAACTAGTTTCCTCATCAGAAAAATGAGAGGGGTTGAGCAATATGGGGCAGTTTTCCCACTGAAGGAGACTCTTCCTTATAAAGTCTGGCAGCCAGTTCCAGAATTTGAACCCAGTTACTGCTTCCCTATGGATGGCTCATTGACCATCTTGACAAAACCCATGTGGGCCTGTGGACTTCTACTCTCTAGAGAATGCTGTGGGCTTGGTCTTCTGACAGGAAGGCCACAGGAGTTGGCTCCGAAACTTGAGGCTCACTGTGGCCTGGCTCCTGCTTCCTATAACCCGGAGCTTTTTCCTTTTGGGTTGATCACCAGAGGGAAGCCATGGCCACCTGACCTGGACTCACCTGCCTTTCTCTGTCCAGGTGGGCTGTAAGCTGGTTATGATCTTCTTCCAGTACTGCATCATGGCCAACTACGCCTGGTTGCTGGTGGAAGGCCTCTACCTCCACACACTCCTCGTCATCTCCTTCTTCTCGGAAAGGAAGTGCCTGCAGGGTTTCATAGCCCTTGGATGGGGTATGTTTCTCCACAGTGTGGTGTCTGTGCAGCACGCAGGAAAGGGCCCTAAGTAGAAAGGATTTCTTTTCTTGATCCAGCTCCACATTAAACTAATTTCTGTAATCTTCTGCAAGTTGCTTGATGTTTGGCTCTTTCTAGTTTATCTGTTGAGTGGGAAATAATAGCTAAAATTGGGCACCAATTTCTGGCATCTGAGTCCTTTTAAAATTTGGTTCCACCCAATACTTGTGGCCTCATCTTCCATTTATATGTCATCTTTCTTGCTTCCTTTCTGAATCACGATGATTTTGACTGCTAGTGTCAAGTCTGGCTCAGGTAGACTTTAAACATAAAAGAAATTAATTGGCTTATGCAACTAAAAAGGCTGGGGATCGCCAACTTTAGACCAGGATGAATCTAGCAGTTTAACAGTGATTCTTTCTGTCTCTTAGAACATCAGATTTATCCTTCACCTGCAACTCCCAGAGTAATTGCCTATAGCTTTTGGGCTACAGGCTTTTTATAACCCAGCTCCAATGAGAAAGAAAGACTATGTCCCAGCAGTCCCAACAAATATTCTAAGATTCACTTGGATTGGACCTCTTCAATCACATGCACATCCTTGACCCAATCATAGAGGCTGAAGGACTGGAATATGCTGATTGGCATAAACTGCTCAAACCACGTGGCTTCCCGAAGGAAGTTCACCATTTATTTTATAAAAGGGGAAATGGTAGCAAGATAGCCACCTGCAGGCCCCCATTACATCTCTTCCTCCTTGCCTTTCTGGTCAAGGAACTCCATTTCTGGTCAGGCATATATGCATCACTTAATCATCATAACACCCCAAAAGCTTCTCAGAGACCTCAGCTCAGAGATGGAACATACTATGCTCAATTCACACCATACACAAGAGCAGACCCAGGATCCAAACCAAGGCTTGTTAACATCCAAAGCCTTTTAATTTTTACTTTATCATTAACAAACTTCCATCCATTTACCTATCCACCCACCCATCTATCCATCCTTCCATCATTCATTTGATAAAGACATGTGTTAGTTACCCACTGGGTTCTAGTCAGAGAGCCAGGTTCCTGTGATGATTCCCAGGCCTACAAAGACAGTATGTGTCCCAGCCATTAGATTCATTCAGTTTCTTCCTGTTCCTTTTAATTAAGAAGGGTTCCTGCCAGGAATGCCCTCCTGTGCCTTTTCTGCTTGTCTAAATCCTTATGTGCAAGGGCCTGGTCTCCCCATCAGACCAGCAGGGAGGCCACCTGAGCTGGCAGAGTACACTGCTTCTAAACCTTGGCAGCCTGATGAGCGCATGACCCTCAGCCAGCAGGGGCTGTAGGGCTGTACAGATGTCTGTCTCCGACAGCAGTCCCAGAGGCCTGGGGACCAGGGACTTGTCTTATGCAGCTAACTCTGACAAAAAGCACCTAATTTGGAGCTCAGCTCTTTGAACTTTGAAGTCCAGATCTGCCAGGATTAGCTGTGTGGACATGGAGAGTTTTTCCTCTATAATACCAGGGTCAAAATTTACTCAACATCTTTGAGCACTTCTTTGTGTTTGGAGATTATAAAAACATGGGAAAAAATTATCCCCAAGATAGACGTTACCAAAAAAATTTACCAATTCCATGGCCCATGGTAAATTTGTAGTATAGTAGGGGACAAAACTGCACTGTGAATGCTAGGGACTTAGTTCAGTGATAGAATGCTTGCCTAGCATATGAGGCACTGGGTTTGATCCCCAGCATGGGAAAACAGAAGCATTATGATGATATCTCTATCATGGGGTTTTTAAGAGGCTTACATGAAATAATGAGAACATTTCTTTCTTGCTCAAGTATTTATTAAGCATCTATTATATGCCAGACCCTGTGCTGGGTGCTGGGGACTACACAGCACATAAACAAACAATGATCCCTTCTCTCCTGGCCTGTCTGCCTGTGAGGCCCCAAAGAGATGGTGAAGGGATTCAGCTCTTTTAGCTGTCCCTCCTAATAATTACTCTCATGTTTCTAAAGACTCTGCTATTCTTTCTTGATTTGAAGTATTATTGGTTACCTCCTTATGATGAAAGATAAGGATATAAAATTTTTTATCCACTACTCTCATTCTTCCATTGTGGGTATTCATAATATTCAGTTAAATCATATTTACATTATTATATCTATGTAAGTATGGCTTACTGTTGAGCAATATTATTTCAATGTGTGAGGAGACTTTCAAATGCAAAAATAGTGGCCCCCTCCTCAATTTGTACTGGCTTCCCCAGGGATAAGTTAATTAAATGAGTACATGCTGCCGTAAAATTAGAAGAAAAAAAAATCCTTTTTAAATATGGAAACTTATCCTAGTCCCATATACAAACATTTTCTGGAATTTTCTTCCAGCCTTTATTCTACTAGCAATTTTTTTTTCTCATGTAGTTGTGGTCATTTCTTATGAAGAATTTTGAGTCTTGCTTCTTTCCCATGAACACACAAGCATGTTCTGAATTATTTCAAATCATCCACATTTTAAATTACCATTGTAAATACATTTGACCAAATATCTATTATTTGGACATTTCACATTTTTCTAAGTATTCACTATGTGTGTGTGTGTGTGTGTGTATATATATTTTTTTTTTTTGAGACAGGGTCTCGCTATGTTGTCCAGGCTGCTCCTGAACTCATGGGCTCAGTGACCCTCTCCTCAGCCTCCCAAGCAGTAGGGAGCCCAGCACCACTGCACCCAGCTTCACTATTAGAAATAGCACAGTGATGAATACTTTATGGGCAAAGCTTTTTTCCCTCTATAATACAAAATCCCAGCATTTGGATTACTGAGTCAAAAGAAGTGAACCCATTTAAAGTTTTTAATACTTATTCAAGGTTTTAGTTTTTCAAAGTGTCTGAACTATCACGCTATGCCCCAAAAAGAATGATAGCTCAGCTTTTCTAGGAGATGAACCAAGCTCCCACTTGGTCCATGAACCTGAACATGTGGTAGGTCTGATGATTCTGCCTCAGAATCACTGCGGGGTGGCACATGTCCAACCCGGCTTGCTGGGCCCTAAAGTTTCTGAGTCAGTGGGTGTAGGGTGGGACCCAGTTCTGTGCATGTCTATCAAGTTCCCAGGTGTAAGGGAATGACCCCTGCAAACCCTGCAACCTCATGGGTTGAAGGCTTGGTCCCCAGTACGGCAGAGTTCAGGGCTTTTAGGAAATGCTGGATCATCAGGGCTCATCACTGATGGGTTCATAGCTGAATGAACTATCAGGAGATGGTGCAAACTGTAGGAGGTGGGACCTGGGTACTTGGAAGGAGTGTGTCCTTGGGAGCATGCCCTTGGGGACTATCTCTTGTCTCCAGTCCCTTCCTCTCACTCTGTTTCCCAGCTGCCTTGAGGGGAGCAGCCTGCTTGGCCACACCCTGCCTGCCAGGACTGTCTGTCTCACCACAAGCCCAGAATTGTTTAGTGAATTAATATTGCCTACTACTTGATCATATCTACGTAAATATTGTTTACTACTGAGCCAAGTGGTACTGTAAGGGCCCAGCTAACACCGGAGGAAGAGACCACCAAGAGACTGACTTTATGCAATAAGCAGGGGGGGGTTATTGAGATTCCAGCATGCTGGGGCTCCGTGCCCACTCGAGAAGGGAAAGCAGCCCAGAGCCCAGAGCCGGGGTTGAACAATGCTTAAGTACACTTTTTTGGGGGAGGGCGGGGACTTTACATACATCACAGTCTCCTTTAACAAATCACCATACACCGCGGGAAAGTTAAACAACAATTCTTAGACTTGATTAGTACATACATTGGCGGGAACAGGGCTGGCTGGAGTGATAGGTCATTCTTAAGGAGGGGGTTACATTTAAACTGATTGGTTTAGGCCCTGAGGTGTGTACGTGCTGGACTGAACAGGATCTTAGGCCATAAATCAACTAAATGGCCAGTAGGGCATTGTCTTAACTGCCTCGGGAATTTAACCCATGCTTTGCAGTTTGAAGCAGGTTTACAGTGCCTGGTCCTTTACATTTTAACTCAGGCTTTGCAGCTTAGAAACTTTACCCTTTCAGTACACAACAATTATCCTTCCGATTTATTTAGCATTTTATTTTTCCTGGAGTTGAGTTTTTTTTATTTGCTTATCAATATTTTATTATATCACTTTCATTGATTCTCCTGAATTCTCTGAAAAACCCTCCAGTACTATTTTCCAAATCATCAAATGTTAACAGGAAATCTCAGTGCCTATATGTTTTGTCAACCTAAATTTTGAGAAAATCAGAGAAATAAAAAACAATGACATTTCTTGGGGAATGGCGTTGGCAATGGGAATATGTGTGCCACAGTAAACTGTGACTTTGTTCAAAGAGTTGAAACCAGGAGGCGTTTTTTGTTTTTTTGTTTTTTTTTAAAAAAAGAGGGAGGATTATATGAGATATAATCTTTGGCCACGATGACTAATAACAAGAGTGGCTCCCTCCAAGGTGAACAGTCCCTGGGCAAATGTCCTTGTAGAATTACTTCTTGTAGTCGCTGTGCAAACTTGCGGTCCTGGTAGAGTCTTTTGTGACACTATCAGGCAATTATGAGCAAGAACCTTTTATTTCTAACCTCCCAACTTTATTTATTTTTGTTAGGGTTGACCTGGTGATTCCACTTCAATTCCAACAACTTTTATGTTTCTTTCCATTTGTTCCTGCTGTATTAATTTCCTATGGCTGCCTAACACATTGCCACCAAGTTGGTGGCTCAGCACAACATAAATTTACTCTTTCACAGTCCTGGAGATCAGAAGTCTGAAATCAAGGGGTTTGCAGGGTTGACTGTGAGGGACAATCTGGTCCATGCCTCTCTCCTGTTCCTGGTGGTAGCTGGAAGGCCTTGGCATTCCTTGGCTTATAGCCACATCACCCCCATTTCTGTCTGTCTGTCTGTCTGTGGTCTTCTTCCTCTACATTTCCTCCCAGCATGTCTTCTGGCCTTCTAAGTGTGCCAATTGAATTGGAGTAGGGGCCCACCCAATTCAACAGGACTTCATCTTAGCTAATTACATTAACCACGACCCTAACTCCAAATACGGGCACCTTCCAAGGTTCTAGTTAGACCTGGATTGGGGGGTACAGCGCTATTTAACCCAATATATCTGCTACTGTTTTTTCTAGAGCTTTTGTCCCCTCCTGCTTGACTGGGTCTGGTGGTTTCCTAGACTTGCTCAGCTGTCTTAATCTTCATGCAGAGAATTCTCTTCACCTTCTGTCACAAATCCTATTTCCTTTATTTCTTGTCTCCTTCTCTTTTATTTCCTCCCTCATTGTGTTGGAGCACATCCTCCAGTATCTGTCTGACAAACAGGATCTGGAGGAAACATTTTATTTATTTATTTATATTTTTTATTTTTTGCATCGCACATCTGAAAATGTCTTTATTCTACTTTCACAACTAATTTGTCATTTTGCTGGACATAAAATATCAGGTCAAAAAATCATTTTCCTCTCAAGTTTCGAAGACTTTGTGTTTTGACCTCTAGTTTTATGGGGGGTGCCGTGCCATTCTTGAGATTTTTTATTTACCTTCCTATGTATAAAATGCAAGGGCTGGGGTGTAGCTCAGTGGTGAAGCACTTACCTGGCATGCACAAGGCCCCGGGTTCCATCCCCAGCACTGCAAAAAATAAATAAGCAAACAAACAAATAAATAGGGGATTTTCTCTCTGTAGTTTGCAATGTCGGGTGGGGGATGTGCTCCAGTGCGGGTCTCCTTTCATTCATTTTGCTGGCATGTGGTGGCCCTTTCATCTGCAAACTCTCGTCCTCATTTCTTGAAGATGATCCTGGATTATCTGATGAATCATTTCTTTCCTTCATTTTTTTCTCTTTTCTGAAACTCCTTTTAGTCAGATGGTGCATGGCCTGGAAACAACCTCTAATTTTCTAATTTCCTACTTTGCATTCCATTGTCTTTTTGCTCTGTTCTCTGGGAGATTCCTAGTCTTTATCTCCCAACCCATCTTTTGAATGTTGTACTTGGTCACCCTGTGTTTAGTTTCAAAGCCCTCTGTCTTACCCTCTGATTGCTCCTGGTTTGCAGGATCCTGTCTGTATCTTGTAGGCACCATCTTTCCTGTCCCTCTGATGATATTCCCAAGAGTCATTTGTTCAGGCTCCTTCTGCTCCTGGCATGGTCTGTTTCTCTGAGTTCCTTTTCTCTGGTTGTTTTGTTTCTAGTCTTTTATGTAATCAGAGGTGGGTGACTTGACTTTGGCTGAGTCACTTTGGAACTGACCAGAGGCGCTGGAGAGGGGCTGGGAGACTGGGCTGAAGTGGCCACTGTGCTGAAGGGTCCCCAGCACTGTTGATTTTAGGCCCCTTTTTTCTGGGGCTGTTCTCCAGGAAAGAATCCTTTTACGTTTTGGGTGTGGTGAGGCGAGGGGGCTAGGACCCAGTTGTCATTCCCCAATCAGCTTTCTCTGTTCCTAAATGTAGTGACACCTCTTGTCCACTCCACCCTTCCTTCCTAGTCTTTGTGCTTCTTATTATGCCACTTTTTTTTTTCTTTTTTATTTCTGTGGCATTGAGGATAGAAGCCAGGGCCCCCACACACTAGGCAAGGACTCTGTCACTGAACTATAACCCCGGACCCATTTCTGTCTCTTTGCTGTCATTTTGGAGGGGCTTTGGGGAAAAGAGAAATAAATATATAAGCTCAGTTTGCTGTCTTTAAACAGAAGTCAGGAAATGTTCCCTATATCTTTTAAATTCATGAAAATTTTCTCTTGTCTGTGTATTTTTGTGTAAATATGGCAGTGATGGTTTACCTTACCAGTTAGATGATTGAGCTTCTTACAAACCAATATTTTAATAAAAATCAATTCCAGTTCGGGAGGGGGGACCCACCAACTGTCTCCACAGGCTCCATGATTCTGCCCAGGGGTCCAGCCCCCTCTCTCCTCTGCAGAGGTCCTCTGGAGTCTGGCCTAGGCTCCCAGGATACTCCTAACCCCAAGCAGCTTTCAGGATCCATCCAATCCTGCCTCCACTCCCAGAACATTCCAGCACCTTTGAAGCATGTGGCTACACAGAGACACAGGATGGCAAAGGGGTTTCTGTGGGAACCAAATCTTGGCACTGGCTCAGCACCTGGGCTAGAGTCGACCTGTTCCTCTGTTGAAGTCTGAGTCCTCTCTTCCCCCTTCCCAATTTGTTTTTAACCCTCAGGTTCTCCAGCTGTTTTCGTTGCTTCGTGGGCTATCACCAGGCACTTTCTGGAAGACATCGGGTAAGCGGTTGGAAGGAGAGTTACCAAGAATTTGTAGACAGAATTCCGCCCCCCACCAATTCAGCCAAACTTGAATTGAAAAATGAAAAATTTGTCTGCACTGAAGATGTACAGACTTTTAGTCCTTGTCATTATTCCCTAAGCAATATAGTAGGATAGCTATTTACATTGTATTAGGTATTCTAAGTCATCTAAAGTGGACAGGAAAATATGTGTAGAATTATATGTAAATACTATATGATCTTATTGAAGGGACTTGAGCATCTGTGGGTTTCGGTACCGTGGAGCATCCTGGAACTCATCTCCTGTGGATGCTGAGAGGTATACTTGACATTGTCCCTTTCTTCAAACAGCACGGTTGAGCTTCTAACAAACTAATATTTTAATACAAATCAATTCCAGTTCAGGAGGGGGGACCCACCAACCGTCTCCACAGGCTCCATGATTCTGCCCAGGGGTCCAGCCCTTGGAGCTATCTAGGAAAGGCCTGCTGTTTCAGATGAGAGGCCACAGGCGAGGTCTCTGGAGCTGTGCTTCTCACTCTCCAGGTGTGTTTCCAGATGGGCCACACCTGCAGTCTCCTGGCCGCCCTGCCTTTGTGCCTGCAGGGTCAGCTCTGTGCTTAGATCAGGGGCCAGACTGCTGTACTCCAGGCAGCAGCTGCTCAGTGGAGGACACCTCCCTCCCCTGCATGTTTAAGAGCCCTGAGGGTAGCACCATTCTCACCTCCAGGGTGTGGCAGTGACCTGGACAAACCAGAGCTCTGGTCTTGATCTATAAAGGAGTGAAGTGCAGGTGGAATAAGCCCAGGGGGCCCACCTGAGGGTGAGCACGGGGAAATGATTTTGAGGCAGCATGGTAGGTAGGATGCCACCAGGTCAAGAAGTGGGCTGGTGGAAGAGGCTTGTGTGTGTCTTATAGTTCAAACTCTGCCCCAAATAATGAGAAATCTGGCTGATTACAGGTTGCACACCTGCAGTTTCAGCAACTCAGGAGAGGGAGTCAGCATTGCTTGATTGAGCCCAGGGTTTGGAGGCCCCCTGGGCAATGAAGTAGGTGGCCTCCTGCTTTAAAAAAAAAAAAAAAAAAAAAACCTCCCACCTTTCTAGAACAAAATGGAAAGTTCTATTAGAATTTCTCATTTTCTTTGTGGGAAAAAAATTTCCACCTCTCTAGAAAAAAATGGAAAGTTCTATTAGCACTTCTCATTTCCTTTGTGGAAAAAAACAAAAACAAAAAACCCAACCAATTAAACCGTGTTCCAGTTGCCTTGGACTAGGCGCATCTCTGGATGATCAGGTTCCCCTCATGCCTGATGTCCTGGGATCCTGAGGTCCCAAGCCAGTCACCCATGCCACCTCACTCACCAATGCTCTCTGCCTGGCCCCTTTTGACAGCTGAGTGTGCCACTGTGAGCCCCAGTGAATTCTGACAAGCTACTTTGGGATTCTGGGGTCCCCGGTCTCTTAGGTTCCAGCAGATTCCATGGAGATAGGTGGCTGCTCCCTGTGCGCCAGCAGTGTTCATAGCTACAGGAGAGGGGCAGGTTCTAACAGTGCTGGGCACACAGCTGCAGGGCTCGGGCCACAAACCTGAGGCTTTTATGTCCGAGGTTGCCTGGGGAACCAGCATTGGCTGGTTAGTCCATCTTCCCCCTCCTGACAGTGCTCCTTGTCCCTCCCTCCCTCCGTCCCATAGGTGTTGGGACATCAATGCCAATGCCTCCATCTGGTGGGTCATTCGAGGGCCTGTGATTCTGTCCATCCTGGTGAGTGGCTGTCTTCCCCTGAGCTGGGGCCCAGTGGGACTGATGGAAACAGTGACTGGCCCATGGGGGTAGAGGACCTGGAGGCGGGATTCCTCTAGATGCCAGTGTTCCCCAAGGAATAGTGCTGGGCTATGAGTCCTAGTTGCCTCTAATCCTATGTTTTGTGGCAAGTGTTTTCCCAGCCCTTGGCAATTCCTGAGGACAATGAGAGTGAGGGGCTGGGTGATTCACTGTCCTTCTGTAAAATGGGGCTGGAGTAGGTGGGGGAGGAGGGAAGGAGAGGAGCTTCCACATGAGCAAATAACCTCCCAGCATGGGCCACAAGGGTGGGAAGAGAGGGCGCCAAAGAAATGAAGAGACTCTAGGACCCATGCCTATAATCCCAGAGAATCTGAAGGCCAAGGCAGCCTCTGCAATTTAGCCAGACCCTTTCTCAAAATAAAAAAATCAAAAAGGGTTGAGGATGTAGCTCAGTGGTAGAGCACCCCTGGGTTCAATCCCAAGTATCCCCCCCACCCTCCCACACACACACACACAGAGAAAGAAAGTCCAAACTCCATTCCTGCCCTTCAGGAAGTTATGGTCAAGTTGGTAGAAGGCTTAACAGATGCAAGCATTTGGCCTTTTATTCTACCCAGGGCCTCAAGCATGCTTAGCAATGGCACTGCCACTGGCAAAGTAACATACAATAATAAGGAATGAGTGGCAATCAAGGGTAGCTTCCTGGAGGTGGTGATTGAGCTGCAAACTGACCAGAGGCTGTGAAACAGCCGTTTTTAAAGTGTGGTTCTAGCTGGGAGCTTGTTAAAAATGCAAATTCTTGGATCCACACCAGACTTATTGAACCATAACCTTTGGGGATGTACCCTAAATTCTCAGAACTGAATTTAGAGCATTCCTGGGTTTAATTCCAAGTACCATACACAGGAAGGAAGGAAGGAAGGAAGGAAAGAAGGGAGGGAGGGAGGGAGGGAGGGAGGGAGAAAGGAAGATGGAGCGAAAGAAAGTTAGCTTTGACACTCCCTGGGAGCTTATTAGAAATGCAGACTCTCAGGCCCAGCCTGCCACCTGCCTTTTTCAATACCCCAGGGGGATTCCAAAGCACTGAGAATATGAATGATCTGCCCAGAGGCTGAGCAAGTCTAGAGCCCTGCAGGCTAGGGTGGAAGGGAGTGTTTCCTCCAGCCTTTGCCTCTAGAAAGGATTCTGGGGGGTAGGAGTGAACAGCACGGTGGGCCATCCCAGTGTTGTCTGCAGTGTCTTCTCCACCCTCAGGACTAGGGGACAGGGCCAGGAGAAGTATCTGAGAAAGCAAGACACCTTCAGCCCACCTTCTGCCTTGTGTTTTGCAGATCAATTTCATCTTATTTATAAACATTTTAAGAATCCTGATGAGAAAACTTAGGACTCAAGAAACAGGAGGAAATGAAGTGAACCAATATAAGTAAGTGGAAAGCAAAGACCCAGGCATGTTCTGACTGTCAGCAAGCATTTACAGAGTACCTACTGTTTACTCAACTGTTTCCAGAAAAAGAAAGAAAAGTGATAGACTGAGTTCCAGTGAAATGGTGGGGATTGGGCCTGATTATGAAGCCTCAGACACTGTGGTGTGGGAAAATCAAGAAATGTCAGCCAGGAAGTCTGGAAGCAGAGATGTGACCCTTAAGGCCAGGCGAGGGACCCAGATTCAGACAATCTGTGTAGCTGTGCATGTTGTTCAGGAGAGAATAACCTTAGCTCTCATCACATTTTTCAGGTATATCAAAAATACTTAAAACCTTTTAAGATGTTAAAGAAGATGTGTTAGTCTGCCAGGGCTGCCATAAGAAAATAACCACAAACTAGGGGCTTAAACAACAGAAATGTACTTTCCCACAGTTCTGGAGCCTGGAAGTCCAAGATCAAGGCTAAATGTCTTCTGAGGTGTCTCTCTGTGGCTTGTAGATGGTCACCTTTGCCCTGTGTCCTCACGTGGTCTCCTCTCTGTGCACAGGCATCCAACTCTGTGGCCCAAACTTCCTTTTCTCATAAGGACACAGTTGAATTGTACAGTGGTCAATCCTAATGGCCTCGTTTTAACTTAATCACCTCTTTAAAGACCCTGTGCCAAAATACGATTGCATCCTGGTGGTTTTAGCTTCAACATATGAGTGAGGAGGCAGCAGCCTCCAAGATATGATATGGTAAGGACAAGTTGGCATCTAATGGAGTCTTTCTCCATGACTGTTGAGTTCTGAGAGTCTCTCAGTAGCCAGGATCCTGTCAGACTCCCTACAACATCCCTGGAGCGACAGGCTCTGAAGTCAGGTAGAGCTGGAGGTCAGGGTAAAGTTACCAGATAAAATACAGGATGCCCAGTCACATTTGCATTTTGGATAAACAACAAATAGTTTGGTTTTTTTTAAGGACTTATTCCCTCTAACTTTTCCATTGTGTATATGAAATTCAAATTCGACTGGGTATCTTGTATTTTTATTTGCTAAAGTTGGCGACACTGATCTTGGAAGAAAACACAAGAACTTCTCCTCATAGGTATTTATTACCTAAGAAAACAAAAGCTGGGTGTGCTCAGCTTAAGTTAGACACAGAGTGACTGTAACACACATATATAATTTATAAACAGAAGTTATTTGAGGGGCTGTTTATGTATTTACTGATGAGACCCATGATCAGAAAGTCCTGGGGTAGATCACGTGTTGGCGAGTGTTGTGTCTGAGTGCGGGCTGCGTGGGAGTTAGGAATTTTCCAAAATGATGAAAACAGGAGCCGGGGGCCTGGCTCAGTGGGAGAACGCTTGCCTGGCATGCGAGGTTTGATCCACAGCACGACACAACCAAACAAAAAACAAATGAAAAAAAAAAAATGCAGAAAAACAAAATAGTTTGGGGACACTGGGGCCAAGCTCTATGCAAATGGGCACTAGATGAGATATGCCCTTGCTGACAGGAGGGGGCCGGAGGGAGGCAGCACAGGAGTGACAGTGTGTCCCTGTGTCCCCAGGCGCCTGGCCAAGTCCACCCTCCTGCTGATTCCCCTCTTCGGTGTCCACTACATCGTCTTCGCCTTCTCCCCCGAGGATGCTATGGAGGTCCAGCTGTTTTTTGAATTGGCCCTTGGCTCATTCCAGGTGAGCTTTGGGGTCTGTGGCTGCTGGTGAAAAGGGCAAGTTTTCTGTTTCCTCTGAGAGAAGCAGAGGGGTCCGTGACAGCAAGTCAGCCAGTGCTGATGGTCAGTGGAGACCTGGGAAGAGACCTCATTTGGTGGAGACCCATAGGACTGCCTGTGCTTTGTGACCCTGAGTGGGACTCGAAGTCCCCACCAGTCAAATGAGGGTGGGAGATGAAACTAAGAGAGACAGAGACTGACTGCAGGGACCACAAAAAGGAAAAGCCACCCAGCACTCTGAGTTCAACTCTCCATACCATCTGCAGTCTCATTAAGGCAGACATCCTACAGGAGGATGAGCCCGGTGGGAGTGTCTTTGAAAGACAACAGTTTCCATACTGGGAAGGACATCGAAAATCCCCAAACTGAGAAATCCACAAGTAGCAGCATCAGCATATTTATTTAGAATCAGTTGAGAGAGTTCAAGTTGCCTTGGAGCAACAGGAAATGGGGGCGGGGGTGTTAGGAGACTATTGATTTTTTACAAAATAAGAATTATTTGACTTTTAAAAGCAATGTGCATGTGCAACTTATTAAAAACAAAAATCTGGCAAGAAAAGAAAATGAAGAGGGGGGAGAAGAAAGGGAGAGAGGGAGAGAGGGAGAGGGAGGGAGAGAGAGAGAGAGAAAGGAAGGGAGGGAGGGAAAATCACCTACCTAGGAATTCTATATGATGTTGTGAAGTTAGAAAAGGAAACAGGTTCAGGTAGAAGGGAGTCTTAATGCAAATCCCAAACTTTACAATGATATTTATTTATTTACTCAGAAATTTCCTTAAAAAAAAACAAGGTGATGTCACTTTTGAGAAGAACAGTGGTCCCTTACCACTCATAGGTTCCAGGGAGGACACACAATTGGGAGCACATCATTGCCTTCCCTGTGCCTTCAGACCCTACTCCAGCGTGTCCCTTCTGCCTCCTCTGAGCAGCAACTCTGCCTAGGGCCCCTGCCAATGTCCCAGATCTGCAGAGGACCAAGCTTCTGGTGTATATGACCCACGGTTCTCTTCCTCCTGGGAGTTTTCACCCCTGCTGGCTCCTGGGCCCCAATTCAGCAGCTGACGGACATAAGAGCCACTTGTGTAGAAGGACTTGACCTGGCTCATGAAAGTGGTAGTGACCATGTGGAAAGCTGGAAGACCAGATCTGCTTTACCACACTGATGGGGACTTCCTGTCCCTCAGAGTTGGGGCTATAGACTACCTAAGCAAAAGCCATTCAGCTTCTCTATGGGAAAATGTCCAAGAGAAATCCAAAAGCACTTTCCTGATGTTCCCACAGAAATTCTTATGAAGAAAAGGATTATTAAAATTGTATAGGGCTGGGATATGGCTCAGTTGGTAGAGTGCTGGCCTAGCATGCACAAGGCCCTGGGTTCAATTCCCAGCACCACCAAAAAAGAAAAAAAAAATTGTATATTTGTAAGTATAGTGTATACAGCCTTATATGTATGCAGGTAGGTAAACAAAATACATATATGTGGGCATATGTGAAAATTTCTTTCATATATAAAAGTGAAGAGAACAGATTGAGTCCTGCAGCTCAGCAATATCTATTCATGGCCTTTTTTACTTCATGTCTATTTTTACAGATAACCCCCCATCTTTTTTTTCTTTTGAGATGAGATCTTGCCAAGCTGCCCAGGCTGGCCTCATACTTGGGGTCCTCCTCCCTCAGCCCCTCGAGTTACTGGCATTACAAGTGTGCATCACCGTGCCTGGCTGTGCCCTTATCTTTTTAAGTAAATCCAAGACATCATTTTCTTTTCTTTTTCTGTGGTACTGGGAATTGAACCCAGGGGAGTATTGTGAGGTGGCTAACACCTCATAGGGTAATTTTTCCTGCTCAGGAGGGGATAAGCCACCTGAGAAAAATATAGTCTGAAGTAATTAGTGAAGAAATAAAAGACAAAGTCAGAATTAGTTTTAAAAGCAGAGCACCTGAAAGATTCTTCCAGTCCTGATTAGGAACTGGAATAGAACAGCTAGAAAATGGCTCCTTTATTTAAGGGGGTACATCAAAGGCAAGGATAAGGTTTCAGGGGTGGAGCCTTGCTTAGGTGTCTTACAGTCAACAGGTTGATAGGCCACACCTCTCTCTGAGAGACTGTGTGGCTACGTGGCTGCAGCAGGTCACCCTATCTTCGGAGCTGTGTGGAGCCCAGCAGATCTGAATAGGAACTCATATGGTCTTACCAGCTAGATTGCTGCTGCAAGTGCCCGGATACCAGCTTTTCCTATTCACTGGCTATGATGCCAGTTTGGTCCATGCACACTTCATGGATGGCTCCTGACAGGGGAGCTCTGAAAGACAAGGGTTTAAAGAACACACACAACCCAACACCATTATCCCTCTCACAGACTTATTAAAACTAAATGCATTAACTCTTTCTGATTGTATAAATAATACTTGCTTATTATAGATAATTTGGAAAACAAAGAAAAGTTAAAATGAAGAAGAAAAAGGGCTGTGGATATAGCTAGACCCTGAGCTCTATCTCCAGTACTGCCAAAAAAAAAAAAAAAAAAAAAAAGGAAAAGACCACTTCTTCATGTCATTAAAATTTGGCTAGTCTTCATTGTTAATGATTGCATAATAACTAAAATTTAGTAAACTTGCTGGCCATGTGTGAGGCCTGCTCTATCTACAGTTGAGTGCATCTAACTTTTCTTCACCCAGAACTCCTGCCCTCCCTTTAACAGTGAAAAGGTATCTTTGGACCCAGGGCAGGTGAGGTCTGGGTGACCTGGGTCTATGAGATGGGCAGCAGCTTCAGCTAGACCACCAGCTCTGGGCCACGCACGCACAGTTCTTGCTGGAAGACCCCTCACCCGTAAAGTGGCGGTCCTCATACCCCCCACCCAGGGTTTAGTGAAGATTGAATGAAGCACCAAAGAACCCAGAATTCCACAGTTACTCAGGGCAAGCTGTGCTGCAAATCCAGGTCCATATATACCAAGCCCATCACAGCCGATTTACCTGCCGGGCATGTTAAAATTACACAGCCTGCCTTCACATGCCTTTCCGTCCTCTAACAGTGTGCTTCAGCCAGTTCCAGTGTCTGGCAATCTTGTTTTTTGGGGGACTAGGGATTGAACCCCAGGATACTCTACCATGAGCTACATCCGAGACAGGGTCTTGCTAATGTGCCCCCAAATTTAGAAGCCCTGAGTAAGCATTCCTGCCATTCCATGAGGTGGGCAGCAGCTCTGGGCCAAGCACACAGAGTTCCAGTCTTGCTGTCACTGCAGCAGTCATTGATGCCTGACATTCTAAAGCAAACCCATGTAGTTTTGTCACTGACTCATTAAAATGCCATTATCTCAGGACTGCGCATGTAGCTCAGTGGTAGAACATACACTTAGCATGCATGTGGATTCAATCCCCAGCACACACACACACACAAAAGCCTATATATATATGTATATGACTGAGGAGTCATATGTATACCAAGCCCATCACAGAGGAGCTGTGTCATCACTTTTGGGGTCATTTCCCATGTGGTAAGTAGCTAAGGGCAAGCCTGCGTGGGAAGAGGACTGAAGATGAGCGCCTAGGCTTCTCATGAGGGACGAGGAAGAGCACTAGTCGGGGCAGTATGGCAAGTCCTCTAAGGAAAGGCAGGCTGACCAAGGTGTACTCTCCCCACTTATGGATCTGCAGGCCTCTTTGACTTGACTCAGGCACCCCAGACTGGAGCCCCTACTCTGGCAGAGCTCCAAGGACACCATCAGGAAAATCCAGCTCCTTCCAGGGCAGGAGGGTCCAGATAGGCCCAGACCTCCCAGGCCAGGGAACATGAAACCCTGACTAAGGAGATGCACCCACCTGTCTCCTAGGCAAGAGGCCAAGTCCTGCTGTTGGCTGGCCTGGGCCTGTACATGGTTTATTCCAAACACATATTTGTTCTTCAACATGAATTAGTCCTCCAAGTCTCAGTGTCTCCAAATTCCTAGCTTAGGTCAGAAATGAGACCACTCTAGGCCCAGGGTCTCCCACTGGACTGGCCCTGCCCCTTCACAGTGGGGTAGCAGCATACATCCTGCTGCTCTTAGATGGTTCACTTGATTCAGGTGAGCTTCCTGGTCCCTGCTGGCTGGGTTCAAGTTAATCCCCTAAATTACAGTCACTGAGTGTGTTTGAGGCACTAGATGTCAGGGACAACAGGATGAAAGGCATTCACAGTCTGTGCTGGATGGTGCAGGCCCAGGCAGGCACACTGTGTGGGCCCAAAAGAGGTGATACCACTAAATCAAGGGAGATGGGGAAGTGAGCCTGGAGTTGGGGATCACAGGACTCAGACTAGAGGTCAGAGGAACTGTCCAGGCCCCGCTGCCCCAGGCAGATGCTGAGGCCCTGTACTAACGCCTGCTCTCTGGCAGGGGCTGGTGGTGGCCATCCTCTACTGCTTCCTCAACGGAGAGGTGAGTCTTCTTGGGCTGCCACTGGATTCCAGGGCAGGAGCTACCTAGATCCAAAGGGGGAAGAAAGGGCTATTTGTGGAGGGTGGGCATGTGGTCCGCATGGCCAAGGGGCTTGACCAGTGTTTTAGGAGTCTAGTCTTGCTAAGAGCAGCCGATTTACCTGCTGGGCATGTTAAAATACTTCCCAGGCCCTGCCCCCAAATTCTGGTTCAGCAAAAATGGATTCTGTGGGTCCAGGTTGGGTCCTGAGACAAAGTGTTCCTTAACAAACACTCCAGAAGATTCTTATCGGGTAAGTTTTAAAAACTTGGGGGAGTATAGTTAGGCACCCAGTGAGACCAGGCTCTGGTCTGCTCAGCTGCTTGTTCCATGGCTGATCTGGGTCACTGTCCCTCTCCGGCCTCAGCCTTCCAATCCTCCAAGGCCTCAAAATGGGTATGGACTCCCCGGGGAGGACTCTGGCCTTGCAGAGCATTTGGGTCAGGACAAGAGGCTCCAGACACACAAAAGCCATGAAATCAACATGGGTTGAATAGGATCTGGCACCCAAACACAGCCTGTTCAGGTTCACCAGACTTGAATGGAAATGACCTCTGATGTTTTCCAAAAGTTAAGCATCAAGCCTGGCCTCAAAGGTCGGACTGCTCCAGTCGGGGATTAGGAGGGGAGTGTCTGTGGAGCAGTTCCCGGCTCCCAGGTAAATTCAGAGCAGGGTGGCTTCATGAGATTAAGCAGACAGTTGTGTCAGTGGGGTTCTGAATGTTTGAGTTCTGCAGTTTGGGAAACAAACCGCAAGTTCTTTCTTTGGGACATAGTGTCATCAAGAGGCAGGTCCAAGTGCCCAAGATAGAGGGAGCCCTCAGTACCTATGGGACACAGGGCTGGCAGGTGAGAGACAGTAGGACCAGTGGGGCACAAGTGGCACCACTGTGTGGAGGCCCTTGGGAGTGAGCCAGGCTAGAGGCACCAGCTGCCCCTCCCTCCTCGGCTGACGGCTGGTCTCTGGCAGGTACAGCTAGAAGTTCAGAAGAAGTGGCGGCAGTGGAATCTCCAAGGCTTCCCGTTGCGCCCTGTGGCCCTCAGTTTGTCCTTCAGCAATGGCACCAGTGGCCCCACTCATGGCACCAAGGGCAGCCCTTCAGAGCAGAGCCGGGGCATCTGCAGGGCCAGCATCATCTGAGAGGACGGAACAATGCCGACCGTGGACAGAGGTTAAAGCAGGTCCTGGGAGGCTGAACACTGCCTTGGAACAGACCTGTCTCCCCAGCAGACATCCTGTGCTCTCCTTGTGGCTGTAAATGTCCCTCCTCCAGGCCTGGGATGCCTCAGAACTGAAGTGACAAGGGCACCGTGAGACAGGATGAAGGCCTAGGACTTGGTCTGTGTTGCTCTTCTGGGAAGAGCAGTTCAGGGGCCCAGGAAAGGGGGCGGGGAAATAAATGGTACCTGGGAAGAGGTTTGCTCTATTTGTCAGTCTTTTTGCCCTGCCAACAGAGAGAAGGGAATATGCCCTGGCTCGTTCCCTGGCCACCTGCTGCAGGAAGAGGGCATTTTCAGGGACAAGCTTAGAGGCTCAGAAAGAAAGGACAGTCTAGGTCCTTGGCCCAAGGCAGATTCTGTCCATCTCCCTTTGCAACTAACCTGGCTAGTAGCTCTCACCACGGCCTTTAGACAATAGATAATTAATCTGATAAAGTCACAGGGAAGCCTCAGGACCCTTGACCCTTTTAGTACCCTGACATGGTGTGAGGCTTATCAGTATGGATTCGTGTGGGTGGGGGGGGGAGGTGCAGTAGCAAGATCAGCATGATCCCACTATAGATGATAAACAGGTTTACCAAAGCCCTGGGCCCTGCTCAAGCTATTCAGCAAGGAGGTGGCAGTTTGGCCCAAGGCCCTTTACTTCAAATGTGCATGCTCAAGGCTATGTCTAAACTCTGCCCACTCCCAGGCAGCGTTGGGCAGGGTCTTTCTCCCAGCCCCACTAAGCTCCTGGGGTGGTTGTCTTACCCTTCATTCTGGCTCTAGTTTCCTGTGAATATATCTGTACTGTCTGCCCACATAAGGATGAAAGAAGACAATATACTGGAATCCTTTTACAAAACAAAACCTCACAGGAAGCATTCTGGAGGGAAGTGGAAACTACTTAGTATAAAGAAAAAAGCATCTTGCTGAGGGGCAACCAGCTCTAGTCCTGGCTTTGGGTGGCTCTCCTGTCCTCTCCCTGAAGACAAGCAAGTCACCTCTTTGCACCTTACAGACCACTGTAGGGTCCCACTTTCCAGGATAAGATCCAGCCTGTGTGATTGACAAGTTCTGCTCTCTGAAAAACCAACAGCCCTCAGAAGGGGCTGGGTATCTCTCCATGTTAGAGCACTTGTCTAGCATGCACAAGGCCCTGGGTTCCATCTTAGCACCACGAAAATCCTCTCAGGTGATCGCCATGGACTCCCTGCATCTTGATAGTTCAAACTTAGTATCTATAGCCTCTGACTCTGTGCATCTTGGAATACAGATTTTAAAAAAAAAATAGAAGGGTCAGGCTAGTGGCGCTCCTCCAAAGTCCCAGCTACTTGGGAAGGCCAAGGCAGGAGGATGGCTTGAGCCCATAAGTTCAAGACCAGCCTTGGCAACATAGTGAGACACTAGCTCAAAAAAAAAAAAAAAAAAAAAATCACCACAGGGAGGTAGGATGCATGACCAGCCCAGGAAGATGCCAAAAACCCATGCAATGGGTAGCAACCAGATTTCACTAGGTGGGAGGGGGAAGAAATCAGCCTAGAATTAAATGATCCAATAGTCCACTTTTTCAGGGCAGAAAAAGGAACTGGAAAGGATTTTTTTTCACCGTGGTGAAAAAAGTACAGACAGATTTTCCTTCTAGCAAGGATGGAAATCTCCATTGCTTCTTGACCCCTTCTCTTCTCCTCATCCCCAGGATGGTTGTTAATCATTACCCAAGGTCTGGCTGTTCCCTTCACCCCCCGTGGAGCCCAGCAGGCCCAGATACGTGCTCTTTGAAATGTATTCATGTTCAAAAATGGTACCCCAAGGCTGTAGAAGTGCAAGTGTGCATAAGAGCATACACACAGGCCTTGGGAAAAACAGTGTGCTCCCCGTCAGCTGGGCCTTGCGGGAGGGCTCGCTTAAGGAAAAGGATTCTAACAGGAAGGGCCCCCAGAAGGAATAGCTAATTGCTAGAAGCTGGGGTCATCCAAGGCTTGTGTGGTCCCCAAAAGAGTAGGAGAGAAATCAAGTCAAATGGTTTGAAAACCCATTATTTGCAAGACATTATAAGGGAAGACACACATGAAGACCCACTGTGCTGGTGAAAGAGTCCTAGGCACTAATTGGTCCCTTTGCTGGAAGAATATCACATTCTTAGCAACCAAGAGTCCCAGGCCCCCACAGCCAATACCCTAGCATAGAGTCAATAAAATAGGTGTAAACCCCACTTGGCTGAGCAGTTAGCCTGGACACCATTTCCGGAGTTGCTTCAAAATCTACTCCAGTCCAAGGAAGAAAACCCATGAAATGAGTTTTAAAATATTCTTCTTTTAAAATCAATATCTGAATAACTTGACAAAACTGTGCGTCTGATGGCACTGAGGCAGGCTCCCAGCCTCTGACCTTCGCAACCAGTTGCAAAAGAGGCAGCAGTTTCAAGATCACTGTCCCACCCCATCTCCACCAGAGGTCACAAGTCAGAAAAGTTCCACCTTGATCACCTTCTTGTGGAATCCAAGATCCCTGGAGCGGGTGCTAGAATTTCTTTGGTTGGTCCCGGTCTGGGTGATGCTGTTAATGTGAAGGCCGCTGATGGCGTTCAGGAAGAAGAGGAACGAGGCAGTGAATTCACACCAAAACATCAGGGTGAAGCCGATGAACGTGACCTGATTCCTGAGGAGGATCACAAAACTCAGGAGCCCCCCAGAGGACAGGATGAAAGAGGCCAGGAGAAGGAAGGAACCAAAAGTCCACTTGCACCGCGAATGGACGTCCTCACACACCTGGGACACCATGAGGAGCTCAAGGCCAAAGATGGCAGCTACCACAGCCATGGCGCTTGCGCAGCGAGCCAGGCCCATGCCCACAGCCAGCCCAGGCACGTGGGCCTGACTCAGGTCTCGGAGGCAGTGTGGCTCGCTCTGGTTGGTAATGGTGCAGAACCGCCACAGTCCAAAGAGGCGGTCCTCAGCCAGAAGCCAGTACCCATCACAGATGGAGACGGAAGAGAGGACCACAGCCAGGGCGGTACAGGTGATGATGAGAGTCCGGATGAAGGTCTCGAAGAAGGACCAGTGGGGCCTCCTTTGGCCCAACGGCCTCTGGGCCTGGAATACAACACAGGAAGCAGCAAGTCAGTGACACCCCATGCCACACCCTCTCTAAATTCTCCAGGGAATACCCAGGCTACCCACGTCCCACAGCACCTGTTTTCTCCTCTGGTCTCATGGAAAGCCTGGAATTTTCCCAACTCAGCTTCCACAGCAGGGACCCCTTTTAGCCTGTCCTCCATTCTACACCTGTAAGCATTGCCTGTCCAGCCTCACTAGGCACAGATGGGTCCCTTCCCATTCTTCCTTTCACCATCTCTACAATGAATCCAAAATGGCTGGCAATCCCTACTGGGATCTGAACTCCGAAAACCTGTCTTGCCTGGCTCCTAGGACCTTGAGCATGCAGTCTGCTCCAATCTTTACACAAAACAAGAGCCCTGCTTTTCATGGCTACAGGGTTATGAGAAGCTTAGAGACATTAGCACATAATTATGTAGGACGGTTTCTCTCCCCACTATCCATCCAGTTTTATTCCACGCCCCCCCCCCCCCCCCACCAGGTTCTGCACTTTCGATGTTTGGTCCAGCCTGCATGCTATTATCTTGCTATCCTGACTACTGCAAGAGATGTTTGCACCTTGCCCTTTAACCTTGCTCAGCCTGTACTCTACCCAGAGGGGGCCAGCGTCTGTTCTAGCAGCTTTTAGGCATGGGGTGGCCACTGCAGCTCTTGTCTGCTGGTCTCGGCCTTGGAAAAGTGCATGCCTCACCTCCTCAGCCTCCTGGCAAGTGAGCTAGGTGTCCAGTGAGGTGTCTCATAGTCCTGAGTTGCCACCAGAGCCACCACTCCCAACCACTGACCCACAAGGCAAAAGACAGAACTATTACAGAGAGTAAAACTCCTTAGCATAGCCCCCCAGCCTTGCAAGACGTGCCTGCCTCCCTCTCTGACTCCATTTCCCAGTTGACTCTCCCTCACCGCCTTGCACAGGCACCATGGCAGTGCTATTTCCATGCCTAGAACTTTCTTATCTCGGAACTCCTGCCCCTTCTGCCCAACAGGCTCCCTGCAGCTCCCTTGCACCTCCAGGATGACTGTTTCTCCATAGAGCTGCAGATCTATTTAAAGTCACCTCCCCAGGGAGGACTTTCACCCCACCCAACCCCAAGTTTCCTGGCATTCTCTGCCAGGCACCCTGTTTGTTTTCTTCCCCATTCCCATGGTGGTTTGTAGTTACACATTACTGTCTGTCTCAATTGGACACTGTGACCTCCAGGAGGGCAGGGTCCCTACATCAAGATACTGCCATGTGCCCAGTACCTGACACAGTGTTTGACCTCTGTATTCAGTAGGTACTTGAGGAAGAGCCGTGGGATAAAGAGTCAGGTATGCAACCACTGTCACTTCTATCCAAAGCACCTTTAAAAAGATTCACCTGCCCAGTCATACAGTAAATCACCCCCTTTATAGTGTATATTAGAAGCAGGCTACACCCCAGTTTGGGAGGTAAGCAAAACAGATAGCTCACACATGATGGTCACAGTTAGAAAACCAGGAGAATGGAGAAAGGGGACAATGGGTGTGCCTTATGCCATGTGCAATGAGACCTAGGCCAATACCATGAGGTAAGTAGAGGTAAGTACGGCAAGTGCAGGCCAACCTTTCTGTGTAGTATATAATGCAAAGCCTTGCTCCTGGGAGACTGGCCAAAACCCTCCCAAGCTGTCTGTTAATGTGATTCAGACACAGGAGGCAACTCTCATTTCCACCCCAGTGACACGAATAGGGATGCAGTGTGCGTTCAGCCCTTCTGCCTAAGTAGCATCCTATTTCTTCTTACACCTGGGAGGATGGTACTATAGAAAGCTACAAGCAGAAGGCAGGTGACTTGCCCAGCATCACTCACTCACATCACAATAATGCAAATTATAGTTGCTCAGACAGTTGTACAGTGGGCAGGAGGTAGAATACATTCAGCAATAGATACTGACTTGGGCCTTCATGCTGAAGCCTTGGTATTACTGGTTAGGAAGAAGATTTGAGTACAGAAGGATACTCAAAAGACCACACCAGAACTAGGACCAGCACCTCCACTGAGATCCCAAGGTGCTGCAGAGAGCACCCAGGCAGGAATGTGCACTGTGGTTATCAATCCATGTCCCCTGGTTTCCTTGAGGGGCTTCAGGCACTGAAGCAGGGTGCTGGGTCCCCTTCCTCACTTTAACTATCTGCTTGAGACACTGAGAGTCAAGGAATCTGCACTGAACTTTATTAGGGAATAAAAGAAGATCTACTGGTAAGAAACAATTTACCAAAGAAAACTTTGAAATTTGTGCCTTTATGTCTCTACCACAAACCAGTAGAGGCATTTGTACTTGGACAGTTTCTTAACCTCAACTGGCTCTTGTTTTCTTATCTATTAAATGAAGTTGGTGACACCTGCAGGTCAGCAGTGACTGTGAAGCCACTTGGCAAGATTACAAAATTCCTAAAGATTAATATAGTCAGAGTATGGGAGAGCCCTGGATGCACAGAACAAGTCATATGACCACAGGATCCAGAAGCCTTTGACCCTAGACATGGGTCTGGAAAACAGGCACGTCCTGTCTCCTCCTCAGCCCCACCTGTCCTGGGCCTAGACTGGACTTTAATCTCCAGGCCCTAAGTCATCACACTGGGATCTGGAGAGAGGACAACTGATCTCATTTCATCTTTCCTTCCTCCTGCCTCAAAGCAGGGCTTCATTTAAACTCTGACCATTTAAAATCCCAAGGATGGGGCTGGGGATGTGGCTCAAGCGGTAGCGTGCTCGCCTAGCAAGCACAGGATGCTGGGCTTGATCCTCAGCACCGCATAAAGATGTTGTGTCTGCCGAAAACTAAAAAATAAATATTAAAAAGTTTTCTCTCTCTCTCTCTCTTTAAAAAAAAAAGAAAAAAAATCCCAAGGATGGGGCTGGGGCTGTAGCTCAGTGGTGGAACACTTGCACGGCATGTGCAAGTCCCTGCATCCCTGGGGTGGGGGCTCCCAAGGATAAAATGAGATCATGTATATAAAGATGCATGGCAAATGGGCAGCTCTGCATTTTGGGGAGTGATTCATAATATTCCTAACAATAACGCACACTGGAGTCTTTGTTCCAAAACACTTGGCACCTCACCCCTGTGTTGCTGTCACCTCTGCCAGTTTTCAAGGATCCAGGCCCTGAAATCCTTTCCTGAAGGGCAAGCTGGCAGCAGCAGCTCAATGGAGGGGTAGTAAAGTGGGGAAGAGGGCAGTAGAGTCCTACCCCCTACCTGCCAGCCCCAGCTCTGTGCCTTCCGGCAATCACTTAAATCTCAGGGCTTTTGACTTCTGCTTAAAAACAAAACAAAACATGTTTCCCTTTTTCATCTGTGACCTTGAATAATTTCTAGTGACCTGTAGAATAAAGACTTCTTGACTGAGTACAATGCCCTCCTCTATAACCCAAGGCCTCACCGGCCTCCCTCAACCAATAGCACCTCCAAAAGACACCTTGGACTCTTTCCACATATTACCCACACCCTAACACGACTCCTATATCTGCTGCCCCTCAACACCCACTGTGCCCAGGCCTGACTCAGGCCATCACCACCACCAACAACAACAACAACCTGAAATTTCTTGCACACCTGCTAATGTGTCAGTCTGCCTCTATTCCTTTCAGCCCCAGCATGCCACCCACTCTGTTCCCCGGGCCTGTATGACCAGGCCTTGATTTTTAAGCTAGGTTACTTAAAACCCCTTTCTTTTTCTCTTTCTCACCTATAAACAAAGGTAATAGTTCCTACCTCATAGAGTGGTTGTGGAGATACGTTATGGGCCAAGTAAGTGCTCTAAGTGTCAGGGACAACTACCAGGTCAGCCTAGAACTCCTTTCCCTCTGGGAGCCTGTGGCCTCCCCCAGCTCAGAGTAGGGCCCCTTGGCTAGACTGCATGCCCTGCCTGCCCCTCCTCCCCACATCTCCCTCCTCCTCCTTCTCCATACTAGCTCTGTTTCCTCACCTGGCTCAGTCTTTCTTCCCTCTTCAGCCCCACAAAAAGTCCTCCTCCTCTGCCAACTAACCCTGCCCAAAGCTTGTGTACCTCCCAATTTAGCTCTCACTTCCCGGTATGATTCCTTGTTTACAAGTGTCTCTCCTCAGCTGGATGATAAACTCCTTGAGGGGAGAGACCACACCTGGTCCCACCCTTCTCACCAGCTGTCCCCTTCCTCCCAAAGCCTATCACTGGAGATAATTCAGGGCATTTACCAAAACCAAGAGGAGGAATTGACAGCAGTGGATTCCCTGCCCTACTCCAGAAGCAGGGGTTATGGGGTGACCTATGGGTTATTAGTCTCCTGTTGGAGAAAGACAGAGAGGTGGAATAGTATTTGGAAGCGGGAAGCCCTGAGTTTGAATGTTGATTCTGTCAACTGGCCAGCCACTCTGGGCAATTTACTTCTGAGCCTTGGTTATCCCATCTACAAAACGAGGAGGGCCAAATGCCCCCTGGGACCACACCTGCAAACCAGCTATTGGAGGGGGAGGTACTAAGACAGGACCCCTTGAGCCTACAAGTTCCAGATCTGCCTGGGCAACATAGAGAGACCTCCAACTCTAAATAAATAAATTAAATAAACGGAAGAGTAACATTAACCGTGTTATGAGGATCTCAGCATGTAAATTAATTGGGCTCTAACCATCAGGGTTGGATGTAAGGAAGCTCGCTTTATAGGGCGCCGCTCGCAGAATTCCCTTTGGAGGGGGTAGGAATATGTAGGTTCTCAGCCAACATAAACATCTTGCACCACTCCATGGAGAAATCAAGTCTTCAGAAGTAGACCCGTCCCTTCGCTGGAGCCTTTTCTCGGAGGTGTCTGGTCCCCAGTGAGTTCACCTCGCCACCAGCACCCACTGCGGGACCAAGGCCGTCTTTCTAGCTCCAGAAAGTTCTAACTTCCCAAGAAACTTACCCTCCCTTACATAAGGCAAGCTCCACTCTGCAACTCGATTCTGTCCATTCTCCTCGCCTCGTTTTTTAAGGAGAGAGCCCTCTGGTGAACCTAACCGACAGATCGCTGGTGACCCCGAAAAGAAGCGGAAAATCCTCCCTAGACCAGTTTGGGAGCCTCGGGTACCCGCAGGACCGCGAGCAGAGGCCTGGTGAGCCCGCTCCACAAGAGCACCGTTGCGGGATAGACGCCCCAGGTAAGCTTCCCGGGGACTCTCCTGGGGACCTGTTAGGTCTGCAACAGGGGGTGCCCCGAGCCGGGCTGGAACTCGCTGTGGGTGCGAACTCCCTTCCTCCCCCCACCCCCACGCGGCGGGCAGCACCCCCCGCTTGCGGTGCTCCGGGTACCTGCACGACGATGGCAGTCATGATGCGCAGCCAGCCGCGCGCAGTCACTTCGCTCCTTCCAGCCGCGCGCAGTCACTTCGCTCCTTCCAGCCGCTGGGCTGCTGCTGCCTCAGCGGAGCGGAGCTCTATCCGCGCGAGGCGAGGCGGGGCAGGGGGCGGGGCGGGGCAGGGGGCGGGGCGGGGCCTGTCGTAATTAACAGGGCGGGCTCCACCTCCCTGAGCCGCTCAGGTTACGCTGAGTCAGCTGGGGAGGCCCGGAGGAGCCCCCGGGGAGCGGAGGAGAGGACCCTGGACTCTAGGGTGGCGATCCCCGGAGTTCCTAGAAGGAGGTTCCGGCACCTGGGAGAGGCTGACTCAGCCGTCTGACTTCAGAGCCCAGAGGCACTCCTTCGCCCCCGACCTTGGGAGAATGGTTTCCCCTGGGGCGCAGTTTCCTCGATGGCAGCAACGGAAAGATCCGAGGAATTTGTTCTGACCCCAGCTGGCCCAATCCAGCTTCTAGGGAAGGAAGTAGAATTTAGAGGGAAGAGTCAGGGGGCGGTGGCCGCCTTCACTGAACCTTGGTTAATAAGTAAGATAATATAAGATAGGGTGGGCTTTTGCAAGGCCTTGGTGTGAATGGAGTGGAACCTTCTGGGGTGATTCTGATTGTCGATGGGGGTGTGACCCAGTGATAGACTGGCCTAGCATGGTGTGAGGCCGTGGGTTCTACCTCCTGCATTGGAAAATTTTAAAAGGAAAGGAGGACAGGAAGGGGGAGGAGGAAGCAGATATGCAGAAACATTCCCACCCCCAGGGCAGCAAATTCCAAGTGGCACCCCCACCCCTTCTGCAGTTGTAGGGAAGCATGAGGTGGTGATGGGGGGGGGGGGGGGGTCCTGCTCAAGGTAAAGTAAGATCTCCCAAGCAAATGAAGTACGTTAAATTTTCTGGATTATTCAGGCAGGCAGACTGTTCCTCAGTGACTTTAGCCAGAAACATTTAAAGTGACTGCACTATCTGCCCGACGCCCCACCCCAAAGAGCCACGTGAGAAAGGGAGAAGTTACAGTTGAGCATCTCTCACTTAGATGTTCATCTGATTATATCACTGCCCCAGAGAACTGGTGAAATTAAGTAACCCAATCCTGGGGATTGACAGACGGAACCATGGAGTCCAGCCACATGAGAGCGATGCCCATGGCCTTCCCAGTTCAGAGCTGTGTTCTTATCACCATTTTGCATCAGCAATCACCCCCTGAGCTTGTTTAAACAGATTGCTGGGCCCCTCAGAGTTTCTGACCCTGAGTCTGGGTGAGACTCCTGGTAACACTGTTGCTACTGATTTGGAGGCCAGACTTTGAGATCCACAGAGCTAAGGCAAAGCAGAGCAGCCCTTCTCTGATCTGGTGCCTTCTTTCCATGGCCCCTGCCTACTTTCTCCCTAGTCAAGGGTCCCAGAATCCAGGTGCTCCTACCTCTAAAGCTCTGAGCTCTGTAGGAAGGACTCATGTGGGAAAGGAGGACCTTCATGAAACCCTGTTATGGTTTGCATATGAGTTGTCCCCCTTTAAAGCGCACTTGTGAGATGGTGCAAGAAGGTTTGGAGAAGAAGTGATTGGGTTATATCATTAACCTAATCAGTGATGGAATTAACTGAGTGGTAACTCAAGGCAGGTGGGATGTGGCTGGAGGAAGTGGGTCATAGGGGGCGTGACTATGGGGTATATATTTTGTATCTGGAGAGTGGATTTTCTCTGCTTCTCATCATCATGTGAGCTGCTTCCCTCTGACACACTCTTGCACCATGATGTCCTGTTTCAACTTGAGCCCTGAAGAATGGAGCCAACCACTTACCGACTGAGACCTCTGAAACTGTGAGCCTCTAAATAAACCTTTCCTCCTCTATATGTTCTGGTTGGGTCTTTCAGTCGCAGCAGTGAAAAAGCTGACTAAAACACCCTAGAATGCTCTGTGAGAGAGATCTCCAGGTTGCAGTACTTCACCTGATTGGGAAGACAGTGCCTGGAATGAAAATTTGAAAAAGCTGTCAGGTTGGGCAATCTGCACCCTCCTCACCTCCAAGGATTCCTTCTAAGATTTTTGTGTGATCGAGCATGTTTGGGGACAAGTTGATGTTATGCTTTGTTAGTAAGAAAAATCTTGAATCAGTAGAATGTGGAGCAACTTGTCTTGTCAGCAAGATGGTTGGAGAAGCAGAAATGACTTAGGAATAATAAGGAGGAAGTAACTACTCAGTGCACATCATTTTATGTCCATAAGAAGGCTAGGGACTGAGTTTGTACTGAACTCTGAAGACCCTTGTACTTGCAGCGGAGCTAGGAGAGGCAGCATCCACAGACTCCCTACTCCTTGGTGAGACAGAGAAGCATGTAACTCATCACAGGAATGTCCAACAGGCAGGAGCCTCAGTGTGATGGGGGCCAGTCCATGGCAGGGGCAGGTTGGAGTGGGATGACAGGGTGAGCCCCCAAGTGTTAAAGCCAGAAAACAAATGTGTGAATGGTGGGCTCTGGGACAGCATTGAACCTGCCTACTTTTTGACTTTCTCTGCCTTTTCTCCACACTGTGTGACAAATTCAAAGCACCCTACTCCGACTCCTATCTGACCAAGGTTGGGGAAGGAGAAGTGACAGAAAGGCAGGAAATGACCCCACCCAACCTTCTGATCACCTTTGTCTGAAAAGGACCCAGGCAGGTTCCTTGGAATTCCCAAGATAAGAGCAGGGATACATTCTGCTCAGTGGATCAAGAAGTGTTAGATCTATTGGTCAGTCAATAAGCAGTCTCTTACTTTGGGGCCTTTGTACATGCTCCTTCTGCCTAAAAAGTTCTTCCTCAAGATAGTCACATCTGGACTGGAGGTGTATGGAGCTCAGTGGCAGAGCACTTGCCTAGCATGCATAGGCCCTGGGCTCAATCCGCAGCATTAGAAGAAAAAGGAAAATAAGATATTCACTCTAAGACTCATCTCCCAAGTTCTGAGCTCAGATATCATCTTCTCAGGGAAACCTATCTTGATCATCTCTTTTAAAATGACCTCCTGGGCAGGTGCAGTGGCTCACCCTTGTAATCCCAGCTACTGGGAGTCTGTAGAAGGAGGATCACAGGTCCAAGGTCAGTCTCAACAATATAGTGACACCCTATCTCAAAAAAATTTTTGAAAAGGGTTGGGAGTGTAGCCCAGTGGTAAAGCATCCTAGGTTCAATTGCCAGTACCACAACAGACAGAAAAACCCCAAAGACCAAAGCAACAGCTCCCTCCCTTCTCTTCCCTTCCCCTTTATGGCCTCCATACCCCCATGCCTCCATAGCGTAAGCTCTATCAGAGAACAAATGTACAACAGTTGGCTTTATTTTCCATTCTAGAATTGGGCAACATTTCATTCCATAAAATGGAACATGCATTCCAGTGAACTGGGCAGAGGAGGTTGGTTGGTTTTAGAGACAGAAGACAGCTTGAAGAAAGCAAAAACAAAAATCCAAAAGCAGATTTGTTAGTCCAAAGCTCTTTCCCTGTCAGGTGGGGACAGAGACAGGGAACAACAGAAAAATAAGTAGTCGGTTAACATCAGCTTACATTTTATATAGAGGGAACTTCATTATGATAACAACTGAAATCGGCCTTTTTGGGAAATTTGACTGTCATTTCTCTCAATCCTTATTTCTAGGAAAGTCAGATAAACGGCTCAGTTTTGGCTGAGAGACAGAACTTTAGCATTAGTGACTCCATTTTGATTTTTAGCCTGGTCTGTTGGGGCCCAGTACAGGAGCTCAGTCTAAATTGGGACCCTCTGTAAATTTCAATTAATTAGCTAATTAATTAATTGATTTAAAAAAATTATTTTTGTTGTAGGTGAACATAATACCTTTATTTTATTTATTTATTTTTTATGTGGTGTTGAGGATCAAACCCAGTGCTTCACATGTGCTAGGCAAGTGCTCTACCACTGAGCCACAACTCCAGCTCCTAATTAATTTATTTTTGAGATGGGATCTTGCTATGTTCCCTGGACTGATATCCAACTCATGGCCTCAAGAAATTCTCTCCCCACAGCCTCCAAAAGCTGGGACTACAGGCATATGCCACTATGCCCAGCTCTATAATTTTTATTTTTTTAAATATTTGTTTTTTAGTTTTTAATTGAACACAATACCTTTATTTATTTACTTTTATGTGGTGCTAAGGATCGAACCCAGGGCCCTGCACATGCTAGGCAAGTGCTCTACTGCTGGGCCACAACCCCAGCCCAACTATAATTTTTATTTAACAGCTCCAAGAGGCCAAGGACTTTACCATGTTCACTGATATATCTATGGTGCTTACAACAGAACCAGACATACAACAAGTGCTTAATAAATATTTGCTGAACAAGGGGATGAATTGATTAATCAGTTGCTATGGACTCACCACCATCCTGGCCAATGAGGGTCAAAAAAGGAAAAAGCCCAAATCTCTGTCAATGATAGAGGGCTTGGGTTTGAGTGTAAAAATCTGCCTCCATTTCTGCTCCCTTTCTGGCCACTTCGGTCCAGGCCCCACATCTTCCAACTCCCTCTTCCTCACAGTCCTCTTTTACTCCATCCTGCTCTGTGCCCCTTCAGCTGTTCAGCTTCAGCCCACTGCAGACCCCATAGTCTCTAACCCTGGTACCTGTGTGACAGTGTCTACTCTCACCAACACCATTCCTTCAAGTGTCTTCTCTTCCTCCCTTTCCCAAGACCCAAGAGGAGGGAGGGACCTGGCCTCTGCCCAGACTCCTCCCCATCTCTGTCCATAGATCCCCACCACTGGTCTCCAGCTGTGCCTGCTTGCTCAGGCCATGGAAAGACGCTCTGGCCAGTCTCAGAGCTTCTGTGTACCAGGCTTTCCCTGGGTGTCTGTAGGGCCCTTTAGGGTCCTCCTTGACTTCTCCAGCCAGAGTGGTGCCCCAGCACCCCCCCCCCCCCCCACACACACACAGATAAAGTTGTCACTCTCTATTACTTTTGTGATGCTAGGGATTGAGCCCAGTGCCTTGCACATACTGGGCAAACAGTCTACCACAGAACTACACCCTCACCCAGCCCACCTGTTGCT